GTTTCTAGGTAGTGTTTCACACGCCCCATCAGAGTGCGACAGTTGTTAGTTCTTTTGTTGTAGAATCGGCGCCCTTCCGTCCACGCGACGATGATGAAGATAACCCCAACAAAGATGTATTTCATTATTTTTTGGCTGCAATTCAAAAAATCGTTAAGGACACTGACGTTGAGGACACTGACGTTATGAACATGAAAACAAGTGCTCAAAATACACTTGTCATCGTTATTTAAAAAATCGGATATTTTTATCTGATTCATACTTTTGGCTGCAATTTGAAAAAACATATGTACTTTAAGGAATTTGAAAACACGTGCACCAAAAACCAGGGTTGCAAGTGGTATATATCACCTAGTGAAAACCGTCGGAGGCGGCGGCGCGCCGTTTGGGGGCTCGGCGGCGGCGCGCCGATATTTCTGCCTCAGTTTGTTTGTATAACTGACCTCTTTATTTACCTTTCTAATACATAGTCATGTATTTTGCGTGCTAATTCTAATTAGTTCAGCAAAAAAAAAGCCGACCCATTTTTTAATTCGTGTTAATTCGAGTTTTCTGCATTGCAGAATTTCAAAAATATTTCTCGACTATATCCACCAGCCTTAGTAGCCATGTAACTCAATTCTTGACGGAAATTCGAAAGTTTGCTTGATTTTTCATAAAATGGAATGTTTGAAATCTTTCTAATTGTAAGTTTTAAAAAACCAGAGGACTAAGCAAAATGTAAGATTCTCAAAAAACAGCAATTTCGAAAAGTCAGGCTATTTATGTACTCAATTTGTATTGCCCAAAATATATTTTAAATATACGTTATCGATTCTTTAAGTAGCGTCAAAATTTGAACTGACCTCTAATTAAAAATGAGTATCGGGAAAAAACTATTCATTTTCTCAATGTCAATCACAATCACAAACGAAACCGTTAAAACCCTAATTTCGACATTTTTTATCGTTTTAATTGGTTTTAATTGTACGAAATAATATTTTTTCTCGGCGGCGCGCCGGCACTTATACTGCGGCGGCGCGCCTCGGCGGCGGCGGCGTGTCAAATCGAGTCGGCGTCGGCGGCGCGCCGGCGAAAAATCGGCGGCGTGGAGCTCTGCCCCAGATATCTGGGGCAGAGCTTCGTCTGCAGATGAAGGATCCATTCATATTTACGTGCAAAATTCATATTTGTTAGTGAGATTAGATTTCTGCAACCCTGCCAAAAACACGTGACACGTAGGAAATTAGAGAACTACACATTTTGATCTGAACATTAGATTTTGTTTGCACGACAGGATTGATTTTTGTTAAACAACGACGTCACGTGTCTGTGGTACACAAACCATAGACTTATTTCCCGTTCGTCACAAAACGTCTTTTAAATAATTACCCAGAAATTGAGGACTATGTATACATACGTAGTTCCTAGCGGGGGACGGTTTTTCTCTTAGATTGTGGTTCTCTCAGCACAACCTGTCAGTCAAAAGTGATTCGTGTGAATGCCAATAAAATCAACTGCATTTCCACACAATGGAATAAATTTTAGTATTACGTGTCAAAGAGGAAGTCGTAAAGTTATATAGTTCCAATTAAAGACCAATATATGTATGTATACATACATATGCATTCACACATTACGTTTGAATCAAGTTTTTCATTATCCATTCTTTCTCTCCGATCAAAATCGCAAATTTTTCAACTTTAACGCCGAATACTTTGCTAAATTCTAACGCTCGCATAAGCTGCATAACAAACCACAATAACATCCATACATATTTTACATATCTCTAAGGTAAAAATGTAAATATATGTAAAGATGCCATGCATACCTAACTATAAACAGGTATGAGACCTGGGAGCACATGCTCGAACGCGTCGTTAGCTTAGCGACGTCGTAAAAATTAGCGACACATGCTCAAAATAATTTTTAGCGATGTCGGACACCTTTGAGCATGTGTCCTTAGCACTTGTCGTTAGTAGCGACACCGACGTATGCTCAAAACTTTGATTGTCGGTAAGACCTTGGAATTTGTCGTAAAAGTTTTCGACGCCTAAATAGCTATCGAAACGAGATAAATTTGTCGTAATTTGCTGTTAATTAGGATTCGTTCATATATTATGTAAACATTTTATGGGGGGAGGGGGTCAAGAAGCTATTGACGATTGTTGACGAGGGACTGGGTATGTTGGTTTGCATATGTTGATGCCAACTTTGTTTTGGGCAAATTGAGTCGCTGGATTGCGAAATTCGTAATGAGTTTCCGCAACTCAGCTCAAACTCATTATTGTTCAAATCACTCATTTTGAAACGAGTCGTTTGAAAAGAATTGAATGAATGAAATGAATTGACTCAAACTCAATTCAACTCATCCTCAGCAACTCATGAGTCAAATGCGTTGACTCGAACAGTTCGAGTCGAACTCATTGGCAGTCCTAATCGAGAGAGATCGAAGGAAATAAATATAATTATGCGGCGGTTACGTGCTTATCAAAAATGAGATTTATGAATTTTTAGATAATTCGCAATTTTTTCGCAATTCGCAATTTTTCACAGTAAATTTGCTTAAAAATTAATTGGAAAATTTTTTCAAAACGATTTGTTTATAGTATAAAAATTTAGCCTTAGATTAAAATATCAAAGTTGCATTTACCCTAAAATTAATTATAGACTAATTTTAAATTTTGTACACTCAATATTAAGAGGACCCGTATTTTTGCATTTTTCTGAATACCCGTTTTAGTCCGTAACGGAATTTTCAAACAAATTTTAAGCTAAAATCTTGATTTTGTAAATACCTATAACTTTTTAAATTATGACATAATTTTAAAAACTCGAAAACATGTCTGCTCACAATGACTTCCCCATTTTACTTGAGAATTTTCTTGGATAGTTTGACAAGTTATTATAAGTGGGTTGAAATTTTATCCCACTCCTACACCTAAAATAAAGTGGTAGTAAACGTAAGAACATAACTCCTCAGTTACCAAGATCGTTGTGAACCACTCCCTTAATCGGAAATGGATTACAAATTTTAACGATTTTTTTTCGACAATGTCGTTAAACTCATAACGACAACATTTTCCGACGCCTTGACGACAAATGATGAGCATACGTCGTTATAATTTGTCGTTATTAAGGCGTCTTTAATTTACGACGTCGGTAAGTTAAGGACGCGTTCGAGGATGAGCTCCCTGTTTAAAAGAAGATGCACAAATGCAACGACTTCTTGACCAACAATGGACCAAGTTTTGTTCGATATTTGCAGTATCATTGCCACCACCATGGGAGGAAGACGTATAGAAATATATCGTCAAGAATGGGAACATTTTTAAGAATTACAGTCAATGGAAAAAGTATAGGCAACCCCCACGCCAGCTAAATAAAATTGGTTATAACCTTTGAATGCATTATATAATAAGCATGAAACTGTGTAAGTATTTGGCAAATCTAGTGTAGTACTTGATTATAATCATGTTTCCGATTTAAATGTAATAATCATAACGCAATCCTAATTTTGACCCGAACGTGTCAGGTACAAACCTGCAAAAAGTATTGGCAACATGTAGCCAAATTAATTACGCGAAACAATTTTCTTAACCATCTTCCACATTTCATTACGGTAAGTTAATTAGGTGACAAAATATGACATTAACTACATTTTAAGTGTACAGTTGTGTTGTCTGGAGCCAAAATGGCGACACCAAACGAGCTGTATTTGGACGTGGCGAGAAATAATCATTTCTTTTTTGTTGTCAGTTCTAACTTTGTCGGAGCGTTTCACCACAGCAACGTTACTCCTAGTTTTACGTTATTCATAGTTTTTTAATTACTAAATGTTTTTCTATCAAATTTAGACTCCACGGGTGTCAAAAGCGAGTAAAATTTGCTGGCTAAATTTGATTCAGCTGAAAAAGTCTATTCTGTTCGGAAAGTTTTCTTCTGACTTGGATAACAAGGAAAAACATCTTGCTTGGACTGAAGTGCTACTGAAAGCCCAATCACTCACTATTGTATCATCGGATCGCGATGTTGCGTTCGTTCGGGAAAAAGTGTGGGGGGTTTTGAAGTCTCGAGCATGAGTCGGTCGCTATCGATGGACTTCCGGTGGGAAAGACAGGTGTACCGATTCCAGAAGAAATCGCAGTGCTACCGGAGGAAAATGAGCATGATGCGGACCACCACTCGCGCTTCAACCTCTACTCATTCCGGAGAATCGGTAGGATTAAGGAAGCGGGGTCAACCGCACTCATCACAAAATGAGGACGATGTCAAAAGGAAGAAGTTACAATGTTCTTTGTTAGAAATGAAATTGTATAAGCATCGCCTCGAATGTCTTAAGCTAGAAAAAGAATTGCTTTTGCCATCCTCTACTTTTACATATGAATTATTTGATTAATTGTATAGTAATTCTTAACATGTTCAATCTGTCTAAATCGTATGCAAAGTAATTATTTTAATTTGATAGGGTTGCATTTCAATAAGTTAGCAGCTTTTTGTGCTTTACTTCAACAATTTGTACAATTTTACAACGTATGTACATATCACACTAAGGACGACCTGCTAGTCAAGGGTGATTTGTGTAATTATGGCATTATATGTAAAAGAGGAAGTCGTAAAGTAACATAATGTACATAGTTACAATTAAAGACCAATATAAAAATACATTCACAATATCATGTTTAAAACAAATTCCACATGCATTCCTTCCCTCCGATAAAAGTTTGTACGCATATTTTTCGACTTTGACCTCAAATACATATTTTGACGAATTCTAAGCGTTACACAAACTGTCTTAAGAAAAACAATAATTATAACTTATATCAGTTGTATCCATATACATAAATAAATATTTTATCTGAGGTAAATAAATGTAAGTATGCCATTTACATATGTACATATACATACGTGAATATAAATATGAGACCGGTTTATGTAAAAGAAGTTGTTCAAATGCAAATTGTTGCCCAAAAACCGACCAACTTTTGCTCGACATTTACAGTATCATAGTTACCAGCAGGATAAGCAGACGTATAAAATTACATCGTCAAGAATGGGCACATTTTTAAGAATTATAAGATCTACAAAAATTTTGCTGGTAAGTGGACGAAAAGAGTAAATAATTTTTGAGTGTGCTAGGTAATGTCTATGTGTAACTGTATTTTGTTTAATACTCGCTGGTAACAATATCTTATCATATCGGTTACGGAATATACTGGTGAAATTGTTCCATCTATGTAGTGGCAGCACACTCTTAAAGATGGTGTTTACCCCTTTGAAAAGTAGACGCACTCACATTCCCATCTTAAGGCCCAATTGTTTCAGGGATTTTAGTTTCAATTTTTGTGTCTCAACTTTTCCTTCTTACATAGTGTTGATTTAATTTCTGATCACCTCAAAAAATCTTCTCACCCGCACACAAAAGTTGCTAAAACTTTGTTGTCGTCGACTTATCAGAACTGATTTTTTCTGACAATGTACCCCAAAGGTTTACCTTCATTTGTGGAAAAAATTAGAAAAACAACCCTACTTTGGGATGAATGGGAATGCGTTTCATAAATTGATCATAAATTTTGAGTTCCCTGACATACCTTGAAGTTGTGGAGGAACCGCAGGTCATCTAGAAACGAAATTCGTCTTAGATGACGCACCATATCTACAGGTATAATTAAGAATACGATTTTGGAAATAATGTATCGAAAATCTGCAAGTTCGACAATAAAGCGTACAGTGGTCATAAATACAACAGATCGATTTTAACGATTTTGGCAAGAAATCTGTGGTTCCCTTATTGATAATCATGTAAGAATCAGTGAGTGGTGTCACATAGCCTTCATCAGTTCCAAAATAACGCATTTTCATACAAAAACATTCAACGTCCACTGAATATTGTCAAATTTCTCGAACAAAACGGCTGTATGACTGCTGGTCAAAAGGGTCGGGATATTTTGTGTACGCGAAAGATCGGAAGGAATTATCATCCTGTGGTAAATCTTCACTATACAAGGTGTCGAAATGTGACAATCATCGAGGCAGCCGAGACGAAGACTTCAAAATAATCACTACCATTAACGGTATGTATTTGGCGCTCCTCTCGACAAAATAAGGAACTGGATGTCCCTTTTGGTTGTCAAAATGTGGGAGGACCGTTTTACCGTGACCATATAATACCGGTACATTTCGATACTATGGAGACCAAACAATTTTTTCCAAATTAGAAAATAATTCCATATGAACAGGGTAGAGCGTTAGCCCACACTTTAAATGCTACCACTTGCTTTTCGAGTGACGGTCGTCTATCATCTTAGAAAAGGGGGTGTGGCTCGAAAACACCCCGGACATGAACGCAATGGAACATTTATGGTCCTACCTCAAAAGTTAACCGTTTGACAAATTAGTTCCACGCGATAGTGTGTCTCAAATTCTACAATTTCATGTTGAAAAAAAATCCCAAAACTGTTTTGGAAAATCGGTCCTAAAATTTTCAGGATAAAAGTTCAGTACATCAAAAATCGTCTAAGGACACCCAGAATACTACGGTATTACAATCTATAAACGATTTGGTCAATAAAAAGTTTTTTATTTCAAAATTACATGTATTCGAACCTGTACTCAAAGTGATCAGAAATTAAATCAACACTATGTACATGTAGTCAAACGGCGATTTTGAAAACACCTGCGTTTTTTAAATTAAAATTTGATTGTCCCCAAAAATCAATTATTTTTAGGTTTAAAAAGTTACGAGGTTATAATTTTGATTTTTGTTGCCTTCCAAGAGAAATATTTAATTTGTAATATGATTTCGACTATACTTTATATCCGAGTTGCTGCAAAATTGTTATTTTTGCGTTACGTAATTTATGAAAGGCCCATAACCCGGATAATCATATTTTATCAACTAGGTTCTCAAGTTATTTATCCTGTTGTCAATCCCACTGGTCTTATCGGTCCCAATAACCGGTTCAAACGACGTTGGAGATGTTCCATCCCCAAAATTGGCAAGTCTAAAATTTTACCTGGATCATCAAAATGCAATAACCCAAAAAACACGAACGGCCCGTCAGAGTAATTACCCCCTCATGATTTATGGAGGATGGTAAGAAAATAGTTTCATATTTCGAAAATTTAAAAAATAGAAAGCACGTGGGAATATTTATTTGTTTATTTATGTAGCTATCCCCCCGGTCTCGCTGGTGGGTGGGGGTGGGGACCCCAACCCCCAAATTACCCTCCTTACAACCTGTTTCGAGCCCATCATCCGACTCCGGATAACCAATCTAGTAACGACTTCTGTGACAATCATCCCAAGGAGTGCTAACCACCTTGCCGACCTGGCTTTACGGGATGAACACCTACTAGTTAATCATAACAAGAATTGTACAGAGTTGTGTGTTTGTCACTAGTTGAACTTGGCGCTGGGATATCACATTATTCTAAACGGACTCAACTTACCCCAAACCCGTCTAGACGGGCCACTAAACTTGTAATAAATAAACCGTCGCAAACCGCATGCGAAAGTTGCTTCAGTCTCACTTCACCCCAACCACCCATCCGACAGTGCGGGAACACTTGACTTTACTGTGTTTCATCTATACATTAACAAGCTTAGTAACCCGTCTAGACGGGTTTGGGGTAACTTAAGCCCGTCTGGGGTAATGTGATACCCCAGCACCAAGTTCATGCTAACACACACTACCCAATTCTTGCACATAATGCAAAAATCGATAATCTCATAATGCCCCATTCATTGAAAGTCAAGTTGGGGCTCATTTTTTTAAATTTACAATGACATTGAGTTGTATCTCATTTTGCCCCAAGTTTAAACCAAGTTCCAGCGCACACGTTCAAATTGGACAGACAAACACAGTGAGTCACGGCTATTCTTAGTATTGATTTTTACTGAAAATCTCATTTTACCCCAACCACACCTCGTGGTTGGATCCGATCTACCCCAAAAGTTGATAAGATCCCCCTGGAGTCATAACTCGAGTTCGTTTATTTAGTTCCGTTCTCCCGTTATACCGCTGACGGACAGACAGACAGAGCCTTCGCATAAAGTACATACCTAGGTAAAACTATTAAGAACTAGGGCAGACGCCCGTCCATCGACGGGCAAAAAGACCCATTGTCCTAAGCAGAGAATCGAAACATTGAGGTTAAAGTTAGCCTAGTTTTTCTCGTAAAACCGTCTACAAAGAACCAGCTTTATTATGTATAAATATCAATATTTTAAGAAACTTTTATAATCCAAATTTTCAAAATGTAGGGAAGCAAACGGATTTGTTCAGTTCAGTACTTTTGTATCCATTCCGAGACGAGTTATTTCTGCCAATTTCCACAATGTGAACTGCCCTGCAATAAGAAGTGCAAATAAATAATGCAAATAGCTGTTATTTGACTCTCAGCGATTTCGAATGGGAGCAAATAACAAGTTCTGCATTAATTCATCTGTCTAGGGTCAAGTTGTCTGCATGCGTTTTCAATGCAAACAAATTATGCAGGTGATGACCAACTACTTAAAACAGGTTAAATGTTCATTGTCACTTCTGCACCGATAATTATTACTTGAACAAACATATTATTTCTGTGCCTGATCGAGTTCTACATATTTTACCTTCTTACATTCATTTGTTAAATAGTTCAAGAAAATAAATATTAATTCAGTGTTTAATAAATTAATGAATGACGAGTGAATAACTTGTTTATAGGTTTTGAATAAGTTAATGCTACAGCATTAATTAGGAAAGAAATAACTTTACGTTTTTGGAAAGTAAGTGCACTTTTTACTCCATATGAAGCAAAGTTTACTAAATCCAGACTAACGCTTACTTGATACGGAGTAAGCCTTACTTCATATAGAATAAAAAGTGCACTTACTTTTCAAAAAAGTAAAATTATTTCTAAGGGTGTGAATAAATATTGACTCATGTCATATTCAAGAATTAATAAATAATTTTATTCGGTACTCATTTTTCACCCCATGCTTAATACATGGGGTATATGGAGAAATCCATCTAATTATGGCCCTGGTGATAATGGGAAACTTTTGCATTGGCAATTATATTATTTTTCGCAAAACGCATGGTCTAAATGTACGAGTTTTGGCTGGACCATAACATGACATTGGTCGGACGTTGCAGAGACAAAGGTAATACTAATTACTCTTACATATGCTCAAGACGACATGAATCGTACATACATTTATTTCGCTCATAGAAGCCGGTTTTGGCTTTCATAAATAACTTTAGAAATTTCATACTTATTCTTTGTTTGTGAATAGATGATGGAAAAATGTGGTCAACTTTTAGCTACATACATATGTCACTGATAAAGCCTAAATCCTTAGTATAATTTATTCATTGAAGTTTAAATTGTATTAGCAGAGCATATAGTTTACATTTTACATTAAAATAGGCTAAACGACTAGCGCCTTACAAAAACGTCCCTATCTGAAATTTAAAAAAAAAACCATAATCTATATTTTCGCCGATATTAAAGTAAAAATATCTCATTCAGCTCTCGTCCGGCTGGAAGAGATCCCAAAACTGCGACAACATTTCCACGCTGCACTGCTTCATGGTTGCCGCACCAGGATAAACGCAGGTTTGAGGGAGATAAGATGGTGCGAAGGTGTCCGAACATGTAAAATCCCATACCAGGGGTCACCCTCTCGCCCAAGGGATTAACGTTAGGCCGTCAGGGCGTTTTCCGTCTCGTCGAGAACATCCTGGTGGCTCTTTGATAGCTGGTTCTCCTGCAGATCGAAGCGCTCTCCAAATCACGTCATTGGCAGCGGTGTGTCGCGAATGACGACCTGCGCTCTTACTATCGAGTGCCTTTGAATGGATCCGGGCTCGTATATAGGATACGTGAATGATGATGCTGAGTATAGCAAGGGCAGGTGCACTGTGTGCGGATCACCAAAAAAGCGGACAAATTATTTTTAGGTTGGTGCATTATTTTTATTTGCATTTTTGTTAAGTTTTTAAGGGTGGAGTGTTCAGAACCCACAATCCCTTCGACCTACGACGACCTGGTGGCCAGTATTAATTGGGCTAAACGGTGAGAATTTCGTACCAAAATATGTCAACCATAATTTAGGCAATTATGGAAACGCAAAATAAGTGATAACCTTAAAAATTCGCACGGCCCGGCAGAGCAACTATCCCCTCATGATTTATGGAGGATGGTAAGACAAGATTTATTTCTAAAATGAAAAAAAACGACACTGTCAGAAAGTTTGGCAGACATTTCTCAGGTTGTCTCTGTACTTAGTATTCGAAAAAAAAACTGTTGTAAGATTTCCGGGGAAATTAAGCAGGCAAGGCAATTTTCTAGAAAGTTGAATATTGTAAATTACAAGCCAAGAACTTGCCACTTCACACGAAATATCTATCCGTCCTGAATACCGCCAAATAAATATTTTGCGTCAAATGGGTTATCGAAAGGAAAAAATAGTGCCAGTCGATCTCCAATTTTTGGCTTAGGTTATTGGTCCAACTCGTTAATTATCCTTGTGTAGTTTGATAAAAGGTTCCCTGGTAAGAGTCTGCGTATTAAGACTTTATTTATTTTATGCAGCTACCCCCCAGGTCTAGCTGGTAGGTGGGGGTGGGGATTCCAACGGCCAGGTTACCCACCGTACGACATGTTTCGAACCTCAGATCCAATACCTGGGGACGAAGTGCCAAATGGTGATGTGAATTCGAACATAGCACCCCCCTCCTGTTACCCTCCCCTTACTCCCCACTCGTTGGGGAGATGCAGGTCAAAGTGACCCAGTCAGGGTTCGGAAAATACCCGGGGTTTTACTCTGAAAGCAACCACCCCGGGGTTTTACTCTGAAAGCAACCACCCCGGGGTTTTACTGGGTTTTACTGGGTTTTGGGGTTTTACTGGGTTTTACTGGGTTTTACTGGGTTTTACTGGGTTTTACTCAATGTTTGGGGTGAACTAACATAATTTACAATGTCACGTCAATTTGTTATATTAATGAATTTTATCAAGATTTATCAAAAAACTTCAATTCAAAATGCCAGGAACACAAGAAAAACACGAATTTGATCAAACTCCAATTTAAGCTGTAAATTATGATTTCCAGATCATAAACAAAAATTCGAAATAAATATAGAAATTTACTGAATATTAATCAGAGTACGTAATTCGAGTTGATATGCACCTGCAAACTGATTCTACTGATTTATCTATTTGAATTTTAGATAAAACTGAGTAAAACCCGAGTAAAACCCAGTAAAACCTCAGTAAACCCCTTTAACATAGTAAAACCCGCCGGGTTTTATTAATTTACAACCAAGTAAAACCCAGTAAAACCCCAAAACCCCAACCCAGTAAAACCCGGGGTCGGAATACCCTGGACCCAGTCAGATTGATCCACGACAAATTGACCCGGCACCATATTGACCCAATTTAGGATTTAAATTTTTATACATAAGTAATTTTACAAAAAACTAATAGTAATTATTAGAACAATTAATGTATCTGTTTGGAATATTTGGTATCGGGTCAATTTGTCCCTGGGTCAATGTGGCGCATATTAAAATGTGCGGCGAGCCGTAATACGGGGAAATGAAATGATCAACACGGATGAAAATTAGGCGTTATTTGAACTTCATAAATTGTATCCGCGCACCAAATTTCCATCCGTCAGGAAAACATTATGAAAATAAATGCGAGTAATGAAACCGTCTTACACTCCCAAAATAAGGGCAGTGTGAAGAGGTGATCTTTGCCAATAAAACCTGTCCTGACTTTGTCTCACCAAATCTCACCTTGCCTCCAAGACGCAATTTATTTCCATGTACAACAACGACGACGATCGTCTCATCTGCCTCACCACCACCATCAATGCAGTGAACCCCCCCCCCATAAACGGAACTTCACAGCAGATTTCCACATATTTACCTAATTAATACTATTGAAAATTTATGAAAATTAAAAAAATATGTGACATAATCTTGAAGGAAGAAACGTGTATGGACATACATTTTACTTACCATGCGATGGTGTGAAGTGTAGCCCTCCGAATTGGTTGAAATTTCGAAATTAAGTGGTCCATGTCAATACAACCAACATTTCTTGAGGCAGTTTGTGCGATGGTCAGGATTTGACAAAATATTTGAGGTCAAAGTTGAAAAATGTGCAATTTTTAGCACGGGAAGAGAATGGAAGTTGAGTTAGCTTACTCCGTCTGGTAAAAATCGCCCGTTTTTCAACTTTGACCTCAAATATTTTGCCAAATTCTGACCTTCGCACAAACTGACTGACATGGACCACATAATTTCGAAATTTCAACCAAATCGGAGAGTTACACTTCACACCATCGCATTGTTAGTTTATCAATGCATATATTTTTGCCTGATGAAGAAATTCTGTATGAATATCGACAGCTTGTAACATTAAACATTTCAAATTCAAAATGTTTTCTGATACCGATTTAATAAATCAATATATACATATGTGGAGGATGGAAACATTTAGTAAAAGTACCTACATATGTATTGTTTTGTTATCTCCGTCGGTAATTTGCTTTTCTCTCAATAATGCATCTTAACATGATTGTGGCCTTCAGTCCGGGATCTATATAAATAATTATAATACACTTAAGTAAAGCTAAAATGTCATTGTAAACCTTACAAATCATGTGTTACCTTTGTTTTGTCAACTTCTGCATCAAACACGAATCAATGAAATGACGACGTTTATCAAAAATCTGGCTAATTGTGCTCTCCATGAATGAATGTGACAGACATCTTATTTATTGATCAATAAATAATTTCTGAGATGCGAGGCCTAACACGTGCATTACACAGGCCTTGAAATTATGCTAAGATATTTTGCTAATCTACATTTAAATTGACACGTGTACTCTGCACATTTTTAAGTACATTGTTACATTTCGCACATGCAACTTTGACAATTTGATGTATGGGCTATTATATTTCGTCTGAATGTAATTTTATATTTATTTTCCTACTAGAAATTTTCCAGAATAAGTAATTTTTCACAATAAGTCGGCATTATCGAAGCTAATATATAAACTCTTTGCTCCAAAGTTTTCCACATTACTTAAATACATTTATTCAAATATTACCTACACGCTTGTGTGTAAAATGAGCTTTTTAACCTTGTCAATAACAGCGATGCTGTTCTACCAGAGCGTCGCCGGTTCCCCAGGTAAATATCTAAATATCAGGAAAAATACAAAGTTTCCTAAGTTATTTAATTTCGTTTCCTCAGAAACCGTGCTCAGCTCAGACTTCCAGGTTCACATTGTCGGTGCGGATGAAAATGGGAATCCCGTCGTTAGACGCTGGGTCTCTGAAGGGGCTGACCCTGAGCGGGTAAATTGAAAGTTTTCATTTAGGAATCAAATACGAAAATCCCGAACAAGACCAAAAATTGTTACCCAGCCGGGAATCGAACCACGGCTCCCTTGAATTCATGTCAAGTGCTCTGACCACTGGGCTACTAGGGCAATTAGTGAAATTAGTAACAAAGTTTTCAGTTTCAACTTTGCACATCTAAATATGTAAATTCATTTGTTTCCCAGAATTTGACAGATTCCATGGTTTACAACGGACCGAAATTGGATTATTCTAATCATAAAATGGATTACGGTAATATTTATTTAAGGATTTTGTTCTAATTTCATCAAAGGATAAATATTTCCTTAATTTGAATTTTATGCACATAAATATTCTAAAATAGTGCTTGTGGATCGGAATTTCTCTTCGTCCAAAGCCTCAACAAGACAGGCTTCCGGCCCGGCAATTATCGAGGCTGTGATCGTCGTGGATAAAGATTTCGGAGATCTTTTTTCCCACAACTATCAGAGAATCGTGGACTATCTCACCGTCTACTTTTGGGATGTGAACATGCGGTTCAAAACCCTCCCCAGTGCGGACATCTCCATCCGAGTTAATGGACTCCTCATTATGGAAGTATGTCCCTCACTCTTAAAAATGACGTTACCTTTCGAGCAGTAAAATGCAGTCTTAATTCTTTTTGACTTAACTAAATATACTAAACCAGAGCAAAATTTACTCTTTATCAGATATACGTTACTCTGGATTTAGTATAGTTTTTACAATATACACTCTTAAAAATCTGGTAGATTCACAGTTTGACTCTATGCTGGAATTGATTTGGTAATAATTTCCGGCCGGATTGATACATTAGCAGTTTGTTTCTGATAATGGGAAATTTTTCATTATCATAAGATTATGCCCTCAGCGGTAATATCTGTTGTAACCAGTGTCCGGCGGAATGGCATATGTGCTCCGGTCAGTAATACATAATTTCTTAATACCAGTTTTCTAAGAGTGTAGAATTCAAAGTGTATTTACTTTACGAAAGGGTACTATAATTTTTAACAGTTCATCCATAAATATTCTGTAAGTTGCTTCTCTCCAATTACTGTTTTGGTATCCTCCCCTAGTCCCCACAAGCCCAGCCGTTCATCGAAAACGCGCGCGCATCCGACGGTCGAACAGAACTTGGTCGAATCCTGACCCTTTACAAAAGTTGGGTGTATGAGCAGCGCGGTTGGCTGGTAAAACATGACGTAGCACCATTGATGACGGCCAGTCGGGCGGAATGGTTCGGTGGACTGGCGCACGCTGGAGGGACCTGTTGGGTAGACGACCGTCTAAGAATGGACTACGGGACATGCGTCTGGAACGACGTCGGAGATTGGGGAAGCATTAAGACAGGGACGCATGAGTTAGCGCACACGTAAGGACAACTATTAACATACTTTGAGTGGGGGCACAGTAAGAATCGAAACGCATGTTTTAACTTTACAGAATTGGCGCCCCACATGACGACGACCAAGGCGCGAGTTGTGGCGACGTACCCTGGGGTTTCATCATGGATACACGTCTCGGTGGAAACCGCTATTTTTTCTCGGAGTGTAGTGATCGATGGATGTCCAAATTTGTCAAGTATGTTGCAAACATAGATGTGCGGATGCAGTGTGTCCGCCGCAAGGTGTCGACCAGATTGGCCGTCACCGTGTCGACTAGATTGTCCGTCACCTGCTGTCGTCCACAGTGTCTGCACATCTATGGCTACAAATACAAGAAAAAACACTCACTTTACCACGTTCATATATTTCTAGTTCTGACTCTGGCGCATGTCTAAAAAGAATTGACGGCTATTCAACGACCCCCATGGATCCTAACTTCTCCTCCCCCAAGGCCCCCACAATGGACGATCTTTGCAAGAAACTGCTCTCGTCGGACAGTTGGATTGCTGACGAGGACATCTTCGAGTGTAAAGAACTGCGGTGCAAGCGGCGTGACGCTTCAAACACGGTTTCGACCCATTATTATCTAAATTCGCTGGTGGAAAACGCGGTATGCGGGAGAGGAACGGGTCGCTGTTTCCGGGGGAGGTGTCGCCCAGAAGGGAAACTTATCCGAAATCAGGGAGATGGAACTTGTATCGGGACACCGGATCGGTTAGGGCAAATGCACACCTATTCATATTCTTTCATATGTATGTATGCTTGATTATGATAGTGAAAGAGTGCAAATTTTCCTTCATTTTAATATAAACGAATGGTAAATTCCCTTTTATCCGATGAAGGACATGCTCCTTTCATTTTTTACTGAATGCTTAATGCACTAGGTGTAGTAAGGAATCAGGCCCAATGAAGTGAAATGAAATGAAATATGGATGTGAATGAAAACCTGAAAGAATATGAATGAATGAATGAATGAATTAATGAATGATTGAATAAATATGAATGAATGAAGGAATGAATATGAATGAATATGAATGAATGAATATGAATGAATATGAACGAATAAATATAAATGAATGATTGAATGAATGCGTGAATGAATGAATATTAAGGAATGAACGAAAATGAAAATGGATGAAACCCTTTCTTCCCAAAATCAGAATGATTGACTTTTGAATTTAAATCATATTTTGAACAGGTTTGGTCACATGATTCCTGCCAAGATGATTCGTTGCCCGTCGTCCAGGGATCGAACACCTCTCAATTCCATTGAAATCCGGGATGGACCAGGTGATAAGAGATTAGCCACGCCTTTTACCGAGGCGGGAAACACGGAGAGTGGTGATCGATGTTTATACACGGGTTATCGGGATGGCGACGCTATTTGGACGGACCGATGCAGTGATAATACGTGGCAAGGGTGGGAATTTAGAAGCGTGGGTGGCGCCAACTTCCTCCTGGTGCACAAGGTTACGGGGCGATGTGCAATGCCCCACAATGCGGGAGAGGGATCGTGGATTCAAACTTTTGCCTGCGATTCCGGGAATACGAGAATGCTTTGGAGTTTGATGGATGGTTACTGAGATCATGAATTTCAGGAAATTCATTCAAAACTTATTCATTTCAAACTTTAAATAATTTTTCATTTATTATTCACGGATTTAAAATTTGAAAATAAATGTTTGTGCATATAAATTACGCTTTTTATTCATTTGCCGCAAGTTAGACTTGCAATGGGGACTCCAACTGTGTTCAGCCCAGATTAATCTTTGACCATGTTTTTAGTAGCAAGTCTTTCGAAACAACATTTGGCTTAGTACTTGTCAAGGTGCCAAATTCATCAAGTTATGAGCGCCACAAGTGCATAAAGTTAGCCATGTGTCCAACTTGTACAAAATTTCCATACAGTTTAGTAAAATCGGTTCTGTTAATTTTACCAAATTGTTGTCAGGGTAAGGAAAACCCCGGGGTTTTGCTATTGAAAACCCATACCCAGGGGTTTTACCTGGGTTCTGCGGGTAGTCGGGGTAGTCGGGGTAATCGGGGTTATTGGGGTAAACTGAGTCTGTCTCATGTACTAGGTTTGAAAAACGGCTTTTTCTGTAATTTCTCGACAAAGCCGCTTATTAATTTAATTTTCATAACTAATTAACTAATTAATTTAGAATTGCTAGTAAAGCTATGTTACCACACTTTATAAAATTTAAAAACCCCCACTACCCCGACTACCCGTGGGTATTGCTCAAATTTGCTACCCCAAAACCCACCAAAACCCGCAAAACCACAATACCCCAAAAATCCGGGGTAGCATACCCTGATTGTTGTGTCTTCCTATTTTTTTTTTACTCAACCTTGGGTGAAGTTATGTAGCACAACTCTTATATATTCATTTATTTACAGTGTACTCATTTACATACCTATGTATGTAAACGAGTATGTACAACTCGCACTAGTCATAAGCTGTATTTATACCTGATTCATCTCTGCCGTACGTACATAAATATGTATGTATGTAAATGTATTGCATACCTACATAAATATATATTATTCATTAAGAGTATGAATTGTATCGCAGAGTATGGTACTTATTGTTACATCTTATATTCTTTTAAAAAAGCTAAACGACCAGCGTCTTACAAAATCGTCCCTATCTGAAATTTTAAAAAAACCTTAACCTACTCCGTCGTCTTATAGTAAAAATATCTCATCCAGCTCTCGTCCGGCTGGAAGAGATCCCAAAATTGCAGCAACATTTCCACGCTGCACTGCAATACTCATCCTCTGTAAAAGAAACGCTGTTGCCCTCTTCTCCTCTGTGACGATCGTGATCCTTGATCCGATTTCCTTAATAAGGGACAGAACCTCCTTGCCCCACACTCCAATGGTTTCAATGGCTACAGGTACAAAAAGGAATCTGTCCTGCAGAAATTCACATTTCTTATTTTTGGCGTCCTCCGCCTTCTCGGCTGCCGCACCAGGATGAATGCGGGTTTGAGGGAGGTAGGATGGTGCGAAGGTGTCCGAACATGTGAAATCCCATACCATGGGTCTCCCTCTCGCCCAAGGGATTAGTACTAGGCCGTCAGGGCGCTTCCCGTCTTGTCGAGAGCAACCTGGTGGCTCTTTGATGGCTGGGGCTCCGGCAGATCGGAGCGCTCTCGAAATCACGTCATTGGCAGCGGTGTGTCGCGAATAACGACCTGCACTCCTCTTGCACTTTAAGCCATGATAGCCCTTTGATGTGACCTCCGCTCCACATGGACATTTGTGAGGATGGCAGACGTCACAACCAAGACGAAGGGCACAAGCGACACGGAAAGTCTCATTTGGGAGTAGCGTCCCAAGTTGTGGCGAAGGGATGGCATTAAGCCACGCCCCCACATGCGGTTGTCCAATAGCAAGGAGGCGGGCTTTATCCTCCGGTGTTGGTGCACCATTTTTGAGGTGATTGATGGCGGCTTCCTGTTGAGGCTTCTCCCATGTGGCCTGAATGCCCCTGACATCGAGCGGGGGGAGTTCCGCCGGTCCCATGGGGTTCCACCTCTGTTCTCCTTCCTGCTGTGCGGTGTCGGTGCCATGTAGGTATGGCGGAAGTAGGCGCTCAACGAGGGGCAGGGCGCTGTAAGCGGACGCTAAGAAGCACGGAATCGCCACGTCTACAGCATGCCTGACCCCCAGGCCACCTTCACTGACCGGAAGGGAGGAATGAAGCCATGATTGCGGGGAAAGGGAACAGTTGAGAATCCCCTCCATCGACATCTTTAGTTTGGAGTCATAGAGGGCGAGGGCGTCAAATCTTCGCCAAGTGGGGGCACAGCGAAGAAAATATATCAAGCGGGGCGTCGATATGGATGCCCGAAGCAGGAAAAAAACAGAGTGGGAGGAGAGCTCGAGAAGTCGGGCCCCAAGTGTAGCTAATTGTTCGGTTTTCACCCCAAATACAGCCTCGATCGACTCGTCGGTGAGAGGAGCACCCAGGAGTACGGCGGCTTCGGGGGAAATCTCCTGTATTCCCGGTGCTGCCCGACTAAAACGCTCCAAAATTTCAAGGCGGAATGTTCGTCCGCCCCTAGCACGCCCACTTCACACTTGGCGGTGTTCAGGCGAAGACCAACTTCCTCGCCCATGCGGATAATGGTGTCCAGCGCGATTAACCCTTTTTCTGGGGTGTCCGCTATAGTGGCATCGTCCAAATACCAAAGGTTAAGTTCTGCCTCGATTGCAAGGACAATGGGCTGGACGACAAGGGCGAAGAGTGCGGAACCTGTCGGATCTCCTTGTTGGGCCCCGCGGCGGGAGGAGATGGGTGTGTTCCCATAAAATAGCTGAGAAGGCGAGGAATAAGCCTGTGACACAAAACGAAACATTGAGGGGAACCTTTCATGGATAATGTTCAGGATTGTATCCCGCCGTATCTCGTTGAATATATGTATATGTATGTACATATGTATGAAAATGGTTTAAAACAACTTTTATGTGCATGCCGATTGTTGACCGAAAACCCTACTTTTGTTCCATGTTTGTCTTTAGTATGACTGTCATCCTCAGGGTGGGAAGACGTATTACACCCATACCTAAATTATATCGTTAAGAATGGGAACATTTTTAAGAATTGCAAAATCCACAAAAATCATGCTGGTGAGTGTTTAGAAATCAAGGGTAAAACTAAATATTTCTAAGGGTTTACGTAGATTTAATTAATTGCATTTTATTTAACCATCTCTGATAACTTTGTTGTATCATGCCAGTAACGAATTTTTACCTGCAAATTATGCGCATTGTACGTACTAAATACAAATGAGTAAAATTTACTCAAGCTTGGGTGAAATAGAGGATAACACAGCCAAAAGGTGAACTTTACCCAACATTGAGCAAAATTCACCTTTTAGTTGTGCCATCCTCTTTTTTCCAACTTTGAGTAAACTTAACCAATTTTTATTTAGAGTGCACTATTGAAAATGTTTTACCTCTTGGTATGCATAGCACACATTTAGAAATAATGAAAGAACAATTTGCACCTCAAATCGAACGATAATTTCATCCTCACATATGCACATACCTATTTCTTAATTACATAATTATTGATTTGGTACTCTTATTATAATCATTTTTTTATCAAATAATTTGAAATCTTTATCTCTTGAATAATTTAATTTATACTTGACACATACATACATATTTTATTACACAGATTCTGAAATTATTTATCCTGTCATCCATCCCACTCGTCTTATCGGTCCCAATAAGTGAGGATGTTTTACCCCCAAAATTTTCAAGTCCCCCATCTTATCTGACTCATCGAAATGCAAAGTTAGTAATGATACCCCCAAAAACACGAACGGCCCGGCAGAGTAATTTCCCCCTCATGATTTATGGAGGATGGTAAGACATTTCATATTTCGGAAATTAAAAACACCGTCACCTGCGATTACTTTATTTCGTTTATGTATTTAGCTATCCCCCGGTCTCGCGGGGGGTGGGGCTGGGGGTGGGGATCAAGGTACCCACCTTACAATATATTTCCATACCAAAATTGGCCGAGGTCTGAAGATGCGGAAGCTGCCGGCGGCGCCGGAGACTAATACTCTGCCAAATATCCTGCCAACTGACGTAAGGGATGAAGAACTACTATGTAATGATAAATAGTTGTTGAAAATGTGAAATTTGTACTAAGGATAAACTCGATAATGTTATTAACTTACCCTTAGTCAAAGCATGCATGTGAATAAATCTTGGAATGAATTTTACGCTCCTCTTAAAAAATAGAAACTGTCCTCTTAATATTAACTATCAAACCAGACTTTCATACCTATGTATAAGGGACCGTTAATAAATTACGTTACGAGGCGGGTAGAGGGGTCAAAGTCCTGCGTTACGTTACTCAAACTAAAATAGGCGACAATCATCAATTGAGTAAATAGAAAAAAAACAGTTTAAAAATTTGTAAAGGGCAAGAAACTACTGCAAAATTAAAATTTCAAATTAAATTATTAATTAGGAATGAACACAGAAAGTAATGCACAACGTAAACCAAATCACGAAAAAAATAAATGAACAGTATCCATTAATATCAAGAAAATTTTACTTTACCCAAAATTTGATTCGCTCCTTGGTATCCCAACCATAAATACTAATGATATGGTAAGGATATGGCTTTATGGGATGAGTCAAGTTCAATTGCGTTGATATTATTCATTTTGGATATTTAATTTTTGTTGGGGGAAAATGAGATTTGCGTTAAATTACACGGGGGTAGTTGATTTTCCTTAGGCCTTCCTGCATCCAATATAAAATATTGGAAAGCCTAAAAGCATTATTTACTAGCGTATAAGCCCGTCTCCCGTCGGGCGACGGGCTTATTTGATTTTAGTGAAAATTAAGTAGGATTGTTCATAATTTCACCGAATTATTTTTTTATTGGATCTATATTATTAGCTGGAAGTGTCTGTTGGCAAGTATGTATAGCAAATGAAACTTTCTCCACTTTCACTTCCGTCACGGAAAATTACTTTCACTTCCGTTGCAGACAAACATTTCCAGTTTATAATATAGATAGAAGATGTATTTGTTTGGAATGTTTTTCGCCAAATAGGATTTTTTATGGCGAAAGATTTTCGCCAAACTGACCGACTTCCTAGTTACTATCTATTTGAGCATCTTATGGCTGAAATATTCAGATATACATACATAAATGTGAGTACATAAAATGACGGTTTTTTGTCGAGTTTAAGGTACATACTCTTAGCCGAATTATTTGTGCTAGATTACTTTGTTCATATCATTTCCATGACGCCAAGCCCGTGAAACAAACCCATTGACGCATAAGAAACAAGTTGTTCAAGTACATACAACAATTTACATCTCATACATACATACGTATTTCGCTGAAAAATAAACAATTCATTGGCACTATGACGCCAAAAAGCAACTTTAATAAGTAGCTTGTTTCGATCAAAATTTTTAAAATGTAGGCTAACCAACGGATTTTTTAACTTGTTTCAGGTACTTTTGTAAGAATTCCGAGACGATTCGTGTCATTTTCAACAACGAATCCGCTTTCAAACCCATTCACCGGGTAGAAACGAGTTTTTAGTGGCACTGCATCTATTTTGCCGTCCATTAGATAAATTACCTAAACTACTCTCTGTCTGGGAAAACAAGACCAGATCGGCATCAGGGGAACGAATTATATAATATGTAAATGTTCACATTAATTTGATTCATTGGTTTTCTAAAGGATGACTAAATTATTCATTCATTGTTCAAGTAGTTCGTGAGGAATGAGTGAATATTTTTTAAGTCTGAATTTTAACCAATAAATATTAAATATGCACATACTTATTAACTTCGTAAAAATGTGCAGAATATTTATGAAGAATGAATGAATAATTTAATTAATTACTCATTTTTTCACGCTATGATTAATACATAAATGAATTGGTATATTTAGAAGTTCGTGTAGTAAAACCAATTTGGAATAAAATGAATATAAAACGACCAATTAATAAGTAATATTTAAATACCTATTCAGTTTCAAATTTTGAATGGATTAATAATGAACACATAATTTTTTCCAATTTTTAAATTCAGTAAATTTAGAAATCTCGTCAATAATGAATGGAATCACATTTCCGTCTCAATAAGGTAAGTCAATTTAGATATCATCTTTGTGTAATTTATTGTCATTACGGGCACACAATTTCTTGACAAGTTGCACAACAACGTTGTTTGTTCCTTCATTAAGCTGTCTGCATTTTGTCTGTCAACTCAGGTGATGATGACTAACTGTACATATATTTAAAACTTGTTACTTAGTGCTCCTGATGCACCGATAATCATCACCTGTATCAATCAATTATTTACTTGATTGATTATGCAAATATTTACATATACATGAATAGATGCGAATACTGGTTTAAAAGAAATTCTATGTAACCAAATGGTCTACCAATAAGCCAAGTTTTGTTCGACATGTTTAGTAACCTTGCCATCTTCAGCATAACAAGACGATTAAATTGCATTGTTAAAAATGGGAAGATTTTTAAGAATTACAAAATCTACAAAAATTTTACTGGTAAATGGAGTCCATGAAAAGTAGTAATCACATGTATTGTAAAATTGTGTTCGTTCTTTCATTTCAAGTTTTTAGTGGCTTTATAAATTTTATTAATACACATTTAAAATCGGGCTAATTTATAGATATTCTTTTTTCGATTTTATCGTAGGATTTTTTTTGTTTCATTAAAAAAATAAAAAAGCTACCGCCAATCAAAAATTTTCTAGGGAACTTAACTTATCTGCGGAACTATATAAATTGCTGAATATCTATTCCTTAGTTCATGGCTACACTTAAAAATAATGCTACCATTTTGAAACGTAATTACACTCTAAATTATGTCTAAAGTAAAACATAGTAAGCCTAGAATATGTTACGTTATCTTGACGAAGGGTATAACTTATCGGGCGCTGGATTTAGTACAGTTATGCAAATAAAGTTAGAATTTAGCCCGCATTTACTTTTTCAAAATGTAACATTATTCTTAAGTGTGTATGCAAAATGTTATTCTGTTATACTTTGATATTTTTTTACCAGGTTCTGGAATTATTGCTACTATCATCAATCCCACTGGTCTTATCGGTCCCGATAATGGACGAGTCAAACCTGGACAATATTTTATCTCCAAAATTTGATACTCAAAATTTTGGCCTTACACAAAATTTGGGGAATCATCGAAACGCAAAATTAGTGATACCCAGGGTTCGGAAAAACCCGGGGTTTTACTCTGAAAACAACTACCCCGGGGTTTTACTGGGTTTTACTGGGTTTTACTGGGTTTTGGGGTTTTACTGGGTTTTACTCAATGTTTGGGGTGAAATAATAAAACTTACAATGTTACGTCAATTTGTTAAATTAATGAATGTTATCAAGATTTATCAAAAAACTTCAATTCATAATGACAGGAACACAAGAAAAATACGAATTTGATCAAACTCCAAGTTAAGCTACAAATTATGATTTTTAGATCAGAAACAAAAATTCGAAATAAATAGAAAAATGTACGGAATATTAATCAGAGTGCTTAATTCGAGGTATATAGGCACCTGCAAACTGATTCTATAGATTTATCTATTTGAATTTCCGATAAAACTTAGTAAAACCCAAGTAAAACCCCTTTAACATAGTAAAACCCGCTGGGTTTTATTAATTTACTACCCAGTAAAACCCAGTAAAACCCCAAAACCCCAACCCAGTAAAACCCGGGGTCGGAATACCCTGGTGATACCCACAAAATCACGAACTGCACGTCAGAGCAACTACCCCTTCATGATTTATGGAGGATGGTAAGGTAACTTAATTTCGAAAATTAAAAACAAATTAAAAACTACATACACTGTTAGAAATCTGGTATAATCAAACAGACATTGATTTATCGGGGATTAAAACTGCCACCGCCTGGTACTAAACTTATATAAATATACTGGTCAGTAAAAATTTACCACAGGTACATATACTAAAACTTTAATACCGAGCTATTGCCACACGGTATTATGTATCAATGCCACTTTGGTATAAATACATGAATATCGCTTGAAATTATTTTAATACTGAGATTCTAACATAACCCTTTTTCAAGCTCGAAATTTGTAGCGAGTTATATAAAAAAATCGAGCCAAAAATTAGGAGTCACATTGTAAGTTATATCAGTTAACTCCAAACATTAAGTTAAACCCCAAAACCCAGTAAAACCCAGGGGTATGTAGGTGTTTTCAAGGTGAAACCTCGGGGTTTTCCGAACCCTGTTGTGCATGCGTGCCAATATTTTATTTTATTTATTTACTTACATATTTATTTACATTGATATGTAGCTATCCCCCCAGCCAGGCTGGTGGTTGGGGGTGGGGATCGCAACCGCTAACTTATCCTCCTTACAGCCAATTTGGAAACCAAGACAGAGCGTCTGCTCAGCTAGGACAGGCATGGGCCATTTTAAAACTCTGTTCCAAAAATCCTAAGATTTGCGAGACAGGATAGCGCCCTTAGACGAGACACACTATCAGCTTTGTCATTTTACCTGCGAATTAATTCCACAATTAAGTTGTTGATGTTATTTCATAAATAAGTTACATATGTATTTCAAATAAAAAAAATAAATCAAGTTTAACCTAATCCACTTGTACGATTATGTATTACATATTGAAAAAAACTCATGAACTCAATAATCATGAAACATATGTGTAATGGATTCATGCTAAAGTTTTGTGAAACGCACAATTTTTTGTGCAGTTTGGGGTAGTGTTTTTTATTTTAAACATAATAGTGTACGATTAAGAAATGAGTATATATGCATGAAAGACTCGACGTTGCACGAACATGTATGTACACTCGAAATAAAGCGATAATTAACTCACTACCCTTTCAGTTGATAATATGTACATCTTTTAAAATTAATTGAGTTAAATTTTAACCACCGTGTTAAAGGTGTAAACTTGTTGTCTACTGAATTTCGATAGTAGGAATTTCATAACTCACAAATTTTCGCCAAGAATGTTTACGCGAAACTCACCGTCTTCACATCTTCATATTTGAGCATCTTATGGCTGAAATATTTAAACGATAAGTTCACCAACAGCTAGTCTTTTCTCGAGTTTAAGGTACTTTTAGCCGAATTATTTGTGCAGACTGCTTTATCGATCGTCCATCTTCATTACAACAAATCCGTTTACTAACTCATTGACGCACGAGAAACAGGTTGTTGAAGTCCAGATCATATTACAGCTCATATGCATTTTGCTGAAAAATAATTAATTGAATCTATTTAGAAGCAGCTTTAGTCATTGTTTTGATCAAAATGTTTGATAGGTAGGCTAACCAACGGATTTTTTAACGTGTTTCAGGTACCTTTGCAAAAATTTCGATACGATTTGTGTCTTCATGTGCCAATGTTCAATAACAAATCCGCTTTCAAACCTATTAACTGGGTAGCAACGAGTTTTTAATGGCACAGTATATATTTTTCTGTCGATTAAATAAATTATCTAAACTACTTTGAAAGTACATAGTTTAGATAATTTATTAGACAGAAGGTAGTACTTTCTGTCTGGGAAAACGAGATCAGATCGGTATCAGTGGACAGAATTATATAATAAATGTTCACACTAGTAGATTTATTGGTTTTCTACAGGATGAATATTATTCATTCATTATTCAACTAGTTCATGAGGAATAAGTGAATATTTTATTTTATTTGAATTTTAGTGAATGAATATTAAATAAATACTTACTCACTTGATATGTACAGAATATTTATGAAGAATGTACGAATAATTTAATTCAATACTCATTTTTCACGCTATGATTAATAAATAAATGAATTGGTTATATTTAGAAGTTCGTATAATAAAACCAATTTGGAATAAAATGAATACAAAACCATACAACCAATTTATAAGTAATATTTAAATACCTATTCATTTTTAAATTTTGAATAGATTAATAGCGAATACGTAATTTTTTCCAATTTTTAAATTCAGTAAATTTACATATAAATCTCGTCAAGACCTGAATGGGATTACATTTTCGTCTCAATAACGTAAGCCATAAAAAGAAAATATGCCCATATAATTAGATAATTACTGTTTCCCATTAATCCACACACCTCAAAGATTAACCCCAATTAAATCATAAGGTCAATTTAAATACATATCAACTTTGTGTACTTTATTGTCATTACGTGCACACCCGTTTTTCTTGACAAGTTGAACAACAACGGTGTTTGTTCCTTCGTTAAGCTGTCTGCACCTTGTCTGATGTCAACTAATCATGCTGGTGATGATGACCAAATGTATATGTAAAACTTGTTAGCTGATTCACCGATATTCACCACCTGTATCAATATATTATTTACTTGATTGATTATGCAAATAAGTATACATGAATAGATGAGAATACCGGTTTAAAAGAAATTTTAGATAATCAAATGGTCCACCTATAAGCCAAGTTTTCTTCGACATGTTTAGTATCCCTGTCACCATAAGGATAACAAGTCGATTATCTAAATTATATCGTTAAAAATGGGAACATTTTTAAGAATTATAAAATCTACAAAAAATTTACTGGTAAGTGGAGTCCTTAAAAAGTAGAAAAATCCTGTTTTGCAATTGTGTTCGTTTTTTTTCACTTCGAATTTTTATTTTCGTTATAAATTTTATTATTTAGTGTAAAATCGGTGATATTTTATCTGTGATTTTTTCGAAATATGTTTTCCCTTAAGAGATCTTCAAGCTATCATCATCAAACAGTTCCTAAGGAACATATCTGCAGAAGTAAATTGCTAAATTTGTATTTCTTAATTTATGTACATACACTCTTAAAAATTTTGCCCCCCTTTTGAAATTTAGTTACACTATAAATTCTATGTTACGTAAACGATACTAAATCCAGAATAACGTTATATAGGTGAAGGGTAGAGTTTACTTAATTTAGAATTCAGGCTGCATTTACGGCTGAAAAGGGCAGCATTATTTTTAAGTCTGCGAGTGTATATGTACATACATACTATCATATTCTTTTATATGTTTAGAATAACCCGTCATTTTTTCATCCAGGTTCTGAAATTATTTCTACTATCCTCTATCCCACTGGTCTTATCCGTACCGGTTACAAATGTGGAGAATGTTTTACCTCTAAAATTGGCAAGTATCGAAGCTTACCAAAATTTGGGGATTACGCAAAATTTTGGGAATCATCGAAACGCAAAATTAGTGATGCCGCCAAAAACACGAACAGGACGTCAAAGCAACTACCCCTTCATGATTTATGGAGGATGGTGAGACAAGATTTGTATATTTTGAAAATTAATTAATTTCGAAATTTGATTAAACAAAATAAAAACCTCTCTGGTATCTTCAGATAGACATTGAGTTCTCTGTATTATAATTATATACCACCGCCTGGTCTTTGAATTGCCACCGGTATGTTATAAATAACTGTAATACCGAGCTATCACTTCAAGATATTACTTATCAATGTCACCTTGATAGAGTTTTATATGAATACCGCTTGGTATAATTTTAATACCGTCATTCTACCAATACAATATTTTTTCAAGCTACACCGAGATTGTGTTGCGAGTTATATCAAAAAATTGATCCAAAAATTAGGAGTCACATGACCCTTGGCTTTCCGTTGAATGACCTCTTTGACGAATAATATTGGCGACAAGGTTCAATTTCTAAGCTAGTTTCCTCTCGCCGACTTTCGGAACTCGGAAAAAGCGATTTTTAGTCGGAAACGCAAATATTATCCGGCATCGGAAGGAATGGTATGGGAGATCCATAAATTATGTCACGCAAAAATCGCCTTTTTCTAGACCACCTCCATCGCCTTTAGCACGTATCACATAGGCATGTTTGGAGAGTTAGAACCCTCCCCTCCCACTCTCGCGTGCCATAAAGCGCAAATTTTTATCGGAAGAGTGGACATCGGAGGCTCTCGCAAGCAATGCCGGAAGCGTTGATTTTTGGTTAAACACGGAAGCATTTGAAGTGGGAGAAGAATTTTTAAATTTTTAAAGAAAGAATTTAAAAATTTCTGGAAGTCCGCTTAAGCGGACTTGTAAACTTTCCCGTCAAAAAATTTACCTCACAGGGCCATTCAATGGAAACATTAGTTCCAAATGATCTCTAATATTTAGCATAATTTGTTTCTAAATATATGCAAGTTGTTAAATATTTAATCCCGATTCATTGTAGCTTTAAAAAAGGTTACATTGTAAGTGACAATGCTTTATTTTATTTATTTAGCTACCCACCCGGCCAGGCTGGCGGGTGGGGGTGGGGTTACATACATACTCCCTACATACATACTCCCTACAGCCCATTTGGAAACCAAAACAGAGCTTCTAAAGTAGAAGAAATTCTTAACAAATACTGTTCCGTATATCCGCATCCTGCGTTTTGTCCTGCAGGATAGTGCCCTTACACGAGAAACAACACCAACTTTTTGCCCTGAGCATTGACTTTACTAGGGAGTGTCCATGGATGTATTACACTCTTAATAATTTGGAGACAAATCGTCACCCCGCCAAGGTATTAAGTATGTATGGTGCTGTATTTCTTGGTAATGATTTGTTACCAAGGGGAACTGAGGCAAAAGTTCGAGTACCAAATCAGACGCGACGTAGTAATTTATAAAATTCAATACGTTTATTTAAACAAAATCCTGTTTTCGGATAAAACTGTGCAATTTTTAAATAATGACGTCAAGTCTGTTTGGTACACGAGTATTTGACTTATTTCGCGATGGTGACAAATCAGTACCAAAAACTAGAGTACCATACATACTTAATACCTTGGCGGGGTAACGATTTGTCTCCAAATTATTTACAGTGTACATGATCGAGATAGACAAATTTATTTAGATTTTTAAAAATAAGTAGAAAAAATAAATAATTAATAAACATTCATTTTTAAATTTTGCATAAACTATTTAATAATTACTTAATGAATTTCTGCCAACTTTAAATTGAATTCATTTTGAAATCTGGTCAAGAAATTTCCAATAGCGAATCATATTCCCATCCCGATAATGTAAATAGCACAATAATAAAAAATGTATTCACATACGCAAATATGTAATTAATTACGTATGTGCATACTTCTCAATAACTGTCCATCTCAAAGTTTATATAATTCCAATAAAATATTTACACAGTTCTAATTTATTTCCTTTACGTGCACATATGTAAATATTTTCCTGACAAGTTTATGATAACGACATTGTAATACGGCTTATCCTCCATTAAGTTGTCTGGGCCTTGGCTAATGTCAAATAATCATGCATGCAGGTGATCATTAGCCAACGAGATAAAACATGTTATTCATCCTGATGCACTGATACATAATCCTTACTTGCATTAATATACATATTAACTGGCTGATTGAATATGCAAAAATGTATTTATGCATTTATCTGGTACAAGCATACCTGAGAATACCGGTTTAAAAGAAATATACGTACATAATATGATTGTTCTTCAAAAGGCCAACTTTTGCCAGACATCTTTAGTATCCTTGTAACCATCAGTAGGGTAACAAGACGATTAAATTGTATCTTTTAACATGGGTCCATTTTTAAGAATTACAAAATCTACAATAACTTTACTGGTAAATGAAATCCTTAAAAAGTAGTGTCTGCTCTAATATTCTGTAAGGCAAATGTGTTCGTTTTATAATTTTGAGTTTCCTTTAGTTTCCAAATTTTAGTACTTAGTGGGGGCAGGCTAAGTGTTAATACAACGAAACGCCATAGCTTCAACAGTTTTTGTGCTACAAGGTTCTAGTTAGTTTTATTGGAAAGCCAGTTAATTTCTGAGTTGAAAACAATTTTTAGTTTTTGAAATTTCCTCCCCCGGCATTAATGCAGTGCTGAAAAAGCTGCCTGCAGTCCTCCGCTGAAGCACCCACTGATTCCTGGACAAAGTGTTCCATTCGGTGGTCAAAAATTTTTTTCAGGCCTCTACACTTCTATGAGGCTTAGACCACACCTTTGCCCCTAAGTTTGACCACATTTCATATTCCGGGGATTTAAATCCATCAGGGAGGATGACCATTTTAAAGTAGAGAAAAATTCCGGAATATGTTTTTTTAAACACGCTTGGGTAATTTTTTGCAATAGTGGTATTCACAGTAACCGATTATTGCGATTATAATCATTATCGATTATAATCACCCAAAAATTCTCTATGGGGAAAAATAAACCAATGTGATTATAATCGTCAAAACAATAATCCTCTCCGAGGACGATTATTTGGATTATAATCCTTGATCCAAATGCAACTTTTTTAAAGCGTCCGAAAAAGTAGCCGTTGCTATGATACTATTTAATGAATCCTGCTAGATATTTTAGGCAAAATAATCAAAATACAACAATAATCTGGTGCGTTCATGGTATATGATTATAATCGATTGTGATTAAAATCGTTCTCACGATTATAATCGGTTACTGTGAATACCACTAATATAAGCTCGTGCCAAGTCCTGCTGAGAGGTCCCATCGATTCCGTTGAATTGAATTTCACTTAGGGGATGTACCACGGACTCAAAAACATATTTCATGAAATTTTATCCCCCCACGTTCCCCCCATTTTAGACAAAATGCAGAGGAATTGCCCCAATTTGCTCCCACCTGCCAAAACCATGACAAAACCTGGATAATGTGACTTTTTGACCTTTTGTCTATATTGGGGGATGTCTTTGACCGATTGTGCGTAGATTAGGTGAATACGTTTGTTAAAAGATTCTTCCGATGTGAAAATATCCTCATCTGTAAACAGAATCGTCTTCACTTTTTTGTCGCGTACCGCTTGAGGAGAGCCCTTCATTTCTGTAGTAGGGTTTTCTTTGTGGGCATGCTCAGGAGGTGGCAAGTACAACATTTCAGAGCCTTAAGCCTAAGGTTCAGTTTGAGTACTCATTGGATAATCTGCGTCAACAATGTCGGCTGTGAGGCTATTTCGCGTTGGAATGTCGTGAATTTCTTCGGATTCTATTTTTCAGCCCTTTCGCGATGGGTGTGGTCCTTGTTGGGTTTCCAAAAAATTTTCTTCGACTGTTCTTAGTCGACCCGGTCCCCATGAACGTTTTTATAGTCCGCTGGGCCAAATTAAAATTCACGTTCGATTCCTGTCACATTTTTAAAATTCGCCATTTCTCTTTCCATTTGTGTAGTGCAAAATTATTGCCACTTACTTCCTTTCAATAATTTCCATGCTAATCTGCTTTTCAAGTGGTCAAAAACTGATATGTGTTACTTATGTAAAATCGCACGAGCAATCCAATGCACTTGTCAGATTTTCATTATCTCCAATGGTTTTAAAGTTTTTAGCTATTAACACTTAGCCTGCCCCCACTAAGTAATTATTCTAAACCGATATTTACATTTTTGCATATTTCGTACATATTTTTTTCAGGAGTTTTTCTTCTTAAAGGGACATCCATAAATCATGTCTGGCAAAATCGCGAATCTCCCACCTCTCGCGTGACATAATTTGTGGACGGTCCCTAATAAAACATTTTTACAAGTTATCACCAATCAAAAAATGTCTACATTTTGCAATTGAAAAGCTGCATGTGTATTTTTTAATTTATGCACACACTTAAAAATAATGTTACCATTTTTTTGAAGAGTAAATAAACGCCATATGATTAAACGTTAAGTAAACAATACTAAATTCTGTTTATGTAGCGTTAACTTGGTAAAGAGTAAAGCTTAGTCTGGATTTAGAACAATTTACTTAATTTAGAAATTAGTCGGCATTTACTTTTCAAAAGGTGAACATTATTTTTAAGTGTGCATTCAAATTGTTTTTTTGTCATATATTTACCGAATAACCCGCTATTTTTTCAACTAGGCTCTGAAATTATTGTTACTATCGTCAATCCCACCGATCTTATCTGTCCCGATAAACGACGATTCAAACGTGAAGAATATTTTATCCGAAAACTTGGCAACTATCAAATCTAATCAGAATTTGGAGATTAAACAAAATTTGGGGAATTATCCAAACGCAAAATTAGTGATGCCGCCAAAAACACGAACAGGACGGCAGAGCAACTACCCTCTCATGATTTATGGAGGATGGTACGACACGATTTACAAATTTCGAAAATTTACACAAAATTAAAAACCAGTTAGAAATCTGGTATAGTTACCCAGATATTGATTACTTGGTATTAAATTTTCCACCGATATCATGAACCTTTAATACATAGCTATTAAATACTATACGGTATTAGTTACATATTAATGTAACTTGGTAACGAAACAATAACATGGAATTTTAGCATTTTTTTAAGAAAATTCTTAAATATCTGACGCGCAAACATATGTACAAGGATCAATATGCAAATTCAAGTTGTCGTAAGTCTCAAATTTATGTAATATGTATTTAAATGTGAGACAAATAGGGCATTTATTACTATTTGAATTTGTCGTAATCATCATATCTATTTGTCACGCATTTTAAATATGTGACAAATTAGAAATTTCTGGAATTTCAACGTGTCAAATTATAAACGACATATGACGACGGCACATCCCTACATACAGTGGGGAGCAAATTAAATTGTACGGTAGAAAAACTGTTCTATCTCGCACATTGACGAAGATAAGGGTTTGAAAAATTGCAAGGTAGTACCCCAGAAAGATTGTCGTTGAATGCCGTTCCTGTTTTTGAAAAATCTCAAAAATGGTCAAAGGTCACAATTTTTTACCCAAAAGCTCATTTCTCAAATCTTACAGTGATTTTTTCCTTGGAGGCTTTATTTTTTAATCGATAGCTCACCTTAATGTGAACATTTTGACATCTTGTTCAGTTCTCTACGATTGTTTGAAGAAAGTTATGAATTTTTGAAAAAAAGCGAATTTTGAAAAGTTTAACATTGCGCTTATGGGAGCATTTGGAAAAATCCGCAAAATTCACTTTTTTTTTTAAATTCATAACTTTCTTCAAAAAAATCATAGAGAACTGAACAAGACATCAAAATGTTCACATTGAGTTGAGCTATCGATTAAAAAATAAAGCCTCCAAGGAAAAAATCACTGTAAGATTTGAGAAATGAGCTTTTGGGTCAAAAATTGTGACCTTTGACCTTTTTGAGATTTTTCAAAAACAGGAACGGCATTCAACGACAATCTTTCTGGGGTACTACCTTGCAATTTTTCAAACCCTTATCTTCGTCAATGTGCGAGATAGAACAGTTTTTCTACCGTACAATTTAATTTGCTCGCCACTGTATGATCTATAATTTTTGGCTCGATACAACTTGCCACAAAATCCTGGTGCAGCTTGAAGAATGGTTTCATTGTATGTAAGAGTGTGCATGTCAATGTTTTATCTAATTTTTGCAGTTACCCCCCTGGAGGGTTTGGGTGGGGATCCCAACCGCCAAGTTACCCTCCTTACAACCCATTTGGAAACCAAAATAGAGCGACGACTAATAATCAAGGTTGGGACTATCTCATCGAAGCCTTCTGTCGCATGGATGCTAGAAACTGCCCAAAGCGATAGCTATTTTAGACGAAAAACGAATACTACATATTTAATAATTGTAATTGTTGTGTTGCCAATGAATTGTAAAAAAATTGAAAAAAATTGCCTTAAATGGTCACAAACTTGTGCAAAATTTCATTTTTAAGCATTATTTTCCACTTCCAGATAAACTTAGGGTATGTAGAATGGTTTCAATTTCAGGTTAATAAAAAATATATATTAATGACTTTTGGGCCAGCTTGTATATTTAAATACAACTCATTTCTGGGTGATTAAGAGTTTTGCTGAAAAATAAAATGGCCAAAATACAGTATTTCCAAAATCCGAATGTGCATACCTACTTCAACTACAAAAATTCTTATTTTGGTTTTTGTACAGCAATGTGAGGCTGCACCAAAAAATATTAGGAATATGTAGAATCAAAATAAATGCATACATATATTAGGAAAATCTAGCTACATATTATCATGTACATTTTACAAAACGCTGAGAAAAATAAAAGTTTAGTAGATCATAAGAAATAGAGCGAAAAATGATGCAATGCCTGAACACTACGAATGATTTTTTATCTATTTCAAAATGTTGGCAGAAAACGGGAACGCATAATGCATCCCGTAGTTACTCATTTTAATGAAGGTCACCAGGCGTGCATACACTCTAAATAAAAATGTGTAAAATTTATTCAAGCTTGGGCGAAAAACAGGATGACACAACCAAAAGGTAAAATGTGTCAAATGTTGGGTAGATTTTGCCGTTGGAAAGATACTTAAAGTATCTTTCCAACCAGAATTTTCGAGTTTTTTTGTCCTTTATCTACATACTACAGAACGCAATTACTACAGGGTTTGGGCGTATTGTGGGGGATGGAATTTGGTGGGGGCGCTGCCTCTGTGTGACGCCGTGTCGGTGGCGTTACGGAAGTCGGGACGATGCCGCAAGAGGGGTGTAGTCAGATAAGATGAGGTGAACTCCTACAACAATCCCACAGGAGGAGCAAGAGCATCGATGGTAGAGCAGGTTACTCGCCAAGGAAATTACACCCCACGAGTTATAGTTTTTATGTAGGTCACGATTATTCACTCGCAAATGTGAAGAGAGAAGGGCCGGAAATACTGTTCAGAAACTATGACGCCAAATAACTATGGTCGTTACACACGGGTTGAGAGTTACTTTATAATACACATAACGGAGGTAATTTATTTAGTCGGAGCTATGTATGTATCAATTTATAATTGGTAGTGCAATGGGTAAGTGTGTACTTTAGGAAACTTATGTGTACTCTTTTAGGAAATATAAAATGTACATTTGAGTGGATACTTAATAGTTATTAGGTAGGGAAATTATGTGTGTAGGACATGGGGAAGAGATGATGCGCCTCCGATGGCGTCCCCGTATCCACTACCACGCATCAGGTAGCTGACGAGATATTTGTTGAAGGTTGGCCAAGGAGACGATGTCCTTGGCCAAATGAATGGATAATATGAGTCGATGTCCGGTCGCTTGTTAATGAGGAGAATGTGGAGACGGAGAAGGGAGATTAGGAGGGATGGTGCATGTTGAATGTGACATCCCTTCAGTATCTGTTAGCTGGATGAACAATTAAGCATAATTTAAATCTACATCAAATGCATCCCGAGATGATGCGAACTTAAAAATTGCGCACGTCTCGTCCGAATGATCCTGACTAATAATAAGCGTTTATTTTGTTTGATTTACAAATTACCAATTTAAGTTGAGTTATTTAACTCAAACAAGCTTAATCAGTTTATTGAAACTCCTCCCCTCAGTTATTAAAGTCGTGATGTTATTAGAATGATATACTAGTTAAACCTTTGTCGTTAAACGCATATACAACGAGAAATTACCTAGCACGGAACGATGTTTATGTTTTCCTGACAACCGTCAAATCAGTCGGGGACAGGGGCCCCCAGCGAACCGGCCCCAAGTTTATAGTTCCGCTAGTGTGCTCTCATGTCATTATGTGCACACATTTTGCTAACAGGTTGAGCAATATTTCGATACTACCCGTCATTAAGTTGTCCCCAATGTAAAAAAATTATCAAGACGACGAGCTACTACATATGTACATATGTAAGTATACATGTTCACATTCATTCATTTAATGATGTATGAATAAATTATTCATTCAAAATTCAAATTTTTTAATGAATATTTTATTCTGGTTTTTGAATAAATAAATATTGAGTGAATATCTATTCAATTCGTGTGAATGAATTCGTGTGAGTATTTTTTTCGTCATTCATTTTTAACTCAATGCTTAATACATAGGGAAAGTTGTACTAATACTGAAAATTTTGAATAACATTAATAATGAAGGAATGGTGAATAATGATTAAATATTGAATTACTGATGAATATTTTTGTTTAAAAATTATGAATGAGTAAATAAAGAATGAATATTTTTTTCAAGACTTTGAATGAATGAACTGTGAATGAATAAATATTTGTTTAACATGTATGTAAATATGTAAGACAATTTATGTAGTTGCTGCATCCATAATCATTATGCACTTGTAAAAAAAATCCGGTAGTCAAATACATGCATACATACTCAATTCCGGCCTTGATCTGGTAGCAATGTCGTACTACCGGACTGGTAGCACATATTTAGTTGATTTATGAATTGTAAAGTTTTCATTGACATAAAATGTTAGATCCTTATTATTACCGGGCCGGTAGAGTCGTATATATGCAAATATGTAAATGTACTCCGACTAGTACATAAGAACATGATTTTACATGTATCAGTTTCTTAAACTTGTCTCTGACTGATTTTGTTGATAAGTTTATTTTTTCTTGAGTAAAGTGGAGTATCACAGAGTTCAAATATTTAATATTTTTTATGAATATGAAAATACGGGTTTGCCAGATTTTTTTGCATTCAAATTATTCTCCAAAGCAGCCAACTCTTATTCGACATCCGTTCAGTGCCACAGTCACCCTTGGACTGCCGAGACGTTTAAATTTTACAGTTGAAAATGTTCCCATTTTCAAACAATTTTGCATCCGCAAAAATTTTGTGGGCAAGTGGACTCCTTAAAAACATATTTTGTGTCGTAGTTGTGGTCGATTTCCAATTTACTAGTCAAATTTTAATAAAATTGAAATCCGGACTTCAAATTTATTTATGCCAAACTTTTTTCCAGTGGCAAAATTTGGACTGGGTAGAAAAATGTATTTTTACCCAAAATTTTGCAACGCAAACTATGTGTATTTCTTAATTTACATATGTGCACTCTCAGAAATCCGGTATTAAAATAATACATAATACCAAGTCGTATTCACATGCGAATATAACAAAGTGGTATTACAGATAATACCGTATAGTCACAAAAAACTCAATGTTAGGGTTTTACCATATCCGTAGAAAATTTTCGAGGACCGGTGTAACTGTACTAAAAAACTTTTCCCCCTAGACATCAATAACTTCCTGCTACTCCAGATTTCTAAGAGTGCAGATATGTACATACTCTCCGTTCGCACAGGGTAGAACTTTTACAGAAATTGAGATTTCTCAGAAACTACGGCACTGTTAGTCTCAAAGTACCCCGTCAGTAAAATTTGAGGGAATTTGAGACTGACAGTGCCGTAGTTTCTGAGAAATCTCAATTTCTCCAAAAGTTCCACCGTGTGTGAATGAAGAGTACATATGTAATAACCCGCTCTTTTAATTGTATCACCCAGGTCCTGAAACTATTTATCCTGGCAACAATCCCACTGGTTTTACCGGTCCCACTAAACGTGGAGAATGCTTTACTCCCAAAATTTGAAAGTCTCAAATCTTCTCATGCTTCAAATCCCTCTCATGCTTTATGGAGGATGGTATGTAGCACAAAATTAATTTTTTTTCGAAAATTTTGAAAAGCACGTGTGAATATTTCACCTAAATTTACATATTTATTTAGCTACCCGCCTGGTGGGTGGGGATATCCAAGTTTTCCTACATTTCGTACCCAACATAAACCAAGGCCGCTGTCAGACGGTTTTTATTTCCGTCCGCGTCCCCCACATTTCTATACAGACCATTTCTCACACTTATAGACGATTAATGAATAACAGGTTAGGGTTCGTTCATAAATTATGTAAAGTGAAAATCAAATTTTCTAGACCCTTTCCTCTTAATTTGTGTCACTTAGGCAAGATATCGTTGGAGTTTATATATTTATACCGTCTTGTTTTACATACAGAATTTATGAGCGGCCCCTCACCTGCCCCTTGGCAGAGCAACAATGCCATCTTTGCAGTGACATACATTGACCCTTGCGCATTTCCTTCACAGTTAACTTATGTAATGCTGTTTCGTAAATTAGTAAAAGTGTCAATCATTTGTAAAATATATCTATCATCATATATCTATCATTTGTAAAATATATTTACATATTTATACATACATACTATATGTAACATACATATTAAAATCTTTAAGTTCACAAACTTTTACAAAATAAAGAGACGCCCTTGATCATCTGAATCAATTTGCCAAAATCTAACATTTGTCAGTAATTGAGTACCTGGTTTTTACATGAATTTCCAAAATTTAGGTCAACTATCAAATTTTTTGGCGTGTTTCAGGTACTTCTTTAACAATCCTGAGACGAATTACTTGTTTCGTTATCATTCCCTTGAAGTTTACATGAAGTTTACCCATGTTTTACAACAAATCCGCTGCCAAACCCATTGACTGGGTATAAACGAGTTTTTAATGTCATTGTACCCCATTTGTGAATACAAAGATCAACTAATTATCCAAACTACTTCTTGTCTCGTTAAACTAGCTCGAATTTTTTGAAATCAGCAAAAACTTGACATGTTCGGTCGAGGCAGCTGCAGTGGCGCAACTACATATATTTTTTGGGGCCCTGAGGCAAATAGCAAATAAGTTGATCAAATTACGGAAAAATTAGATCAAAAACTATTTAAGTATGGTTAATACGCTTAGAATGGCGTTTATCATTGCAATCCAGTTTTTCACAGACACAAGTATTGAATTTGTTATATATAAATATAACCGTTTCATGCTAAACCAATTTGAAAACATTACTAATTAAAAAAACTGGTAAAATTTTAAAATTTAAAAATTAAAAAAATAATATATAAAAATGACTCATATTTCAAAAAATTCCTATTTGGTTAGCAACTTTCTAAGCCCCAGACGTTGCGGGGCCCCTAGGTTTTGCGTACCTGGCATATTTGCGCCACTGTCATGGTCAAAGGTGGAAATCTTGACATTTATCATGGTGTGGACTTGAAAGTACGCGGGTGGCGTGGCAAAACGGGCCGAAATTTGACGTCAGGTGATGTGACAGAGTGAAGGGAAAGTGTGGGAGGCGATGTGGGTTTGCCATAAGACAATTCCGCTTGGCTTCACCCTTTTGCTACATTTCGTTGGCAATGGTTTATTTATTAATGCAAATATGTCATGCATACAAATATTTATGTATGAAAATACCGGTTTAATTGTATGGGTTCAAAGAGTCAACTGTTATTCGACACGTTCAGTATCCTTGTCGTCATCATCACGGTAACAGCACAATTTAATTTGATACATTGTTAAAAATGGGAACATTTTTAGGAATTTTAAACTCTTCAAAAATTTTGCTGCTGGTAAGTGAATTCCTTAAACTAGTGTTCATTCTAATAACACAAATATTGTAATCAATCGTGTCCAATTTACATTTTAAATTTTTTCGAATGCCAGATTTTATTAAAATCAAAATTTCCATTTTTTCATTTACAAAATCTAAGCAAGCGAGAAATTTTATATATTTTTGTTTATATGGACTGGTCACTTATTGAAAGTGTCAAGGTTCCCCCTACTTTCTCAAGCGCTTAAAAACTGATTTTGGATATGCAAAAAAGCATAAAAATTTTCAAATTTGATAAGCTTTCTAAAACTGAAAACAGAATTTGATTATCTCTTTTCGTTAAAAAATGACAGCACAAAATTTAGAGGGAAAGTAAAAATTAGTTTGCCACTCGGTGAAAAAAGTGTTTTTCTGGAATCGGAAAAAGGCTCCTGACCACCCCATTTTTCAAGGGATGCACCGGACAAAATTAATCATACACTACATATACAGATATAAGAATCATGAAAATGCAAAATATAAAATTTGGCCTTGTCGACCTGTCCGCCAGAGGACCAAAATACGGACGAGAAACTTGTAAAAACTTTTGCAGAAAACCTCAACAGATCTTTGAGGGTTGCACCCAGGCAACTAAAAATTTCAAAAACCTATCTTTCGCAAGGTGAAAGCCAATAAGTTGGGCTTCAAAACTTGCAACATTATAACTGTGTTAAAATACAATGAAGATAACAAATCCGGGGCTAAAACAATTTGTGGAAAACTTGATGAGAAAATGTTAAAATCGACTCCCAGAAGTTTCTCGTCGTGCATGATCAAAACTACCACCACGTTGACCTCGAAGCATCAATCGTGTAAAGTTCTACTCATGTAGAAGTAAAAATGACGTTCGTTCGAAATATAAATTCGAAACCAAGGAACATTTCCAATGAAATACATAAAATGGCTGGAAATCGACAAAAATGGGAGTGTCTCAAATCCATTCGTTTCTACGAAGAATATGAACTTTGAACTTTATTTGAAAGGGTGTATCATCAAAAGATTTACCCCCTCTATCAGAAACAAACGCGTTTTATTTTGGTCTGACATGGGTACGTGCTAGAATGCCAAAATAGTGACAGGGTACCATCGAGGGAAAAAAACTAATTTCTTCGAGAAAAAAGACAACGCACCAAACGTATCGCAGCGTCGACGTATTGAAAGATTTTGGGCATTAACTGAGAAACAATATACTCAGAAAAAAATACACCACATAATTTCAAAAAAATTAAGCGGGTTATGGAGAAAGTCATCATTGAAGTTGATGAAACGAGTGGCGAAGCGCTCATGAGATGTGTGTGACAAAGTTTTCTCTCCACCGGTAGGGAAGGTGTACTTGGACCAATGAAGGATCAAAAAACTTCGGTCTGGTCATCGTTAGCCTTGCACAAGAGTTTCATTAAATTTGGTTCATGCATTCATTTTTGGGAGGTAAACATAACTTGACACTTTCAATCAGTGACCAGTCCATATTTTTCAACTCAATTTGATTTTACAATTTTGCAGATATTTTATAAGTTATGCAAACACTCTAAAAAGTGTGTTTACGATTATAACCAGAAATTTCGTGTATATGACTCTACCGCCATAGTTATAAATTTATCCGACCTGGTATTAAATTTGTTACAAGTAGTGATTGTTTTATAACCAGTTGGTGACAAATTTAAAACCATGGCAGTAGCGTCATGTACATACATACTTACGTGTGGTTAATATGTACTTAATAAATAATTAGTTAATTTGTAACCCAGGTACTGACATTATTTATCCTGTTCTCCATCCCACTGGTCTTATCTGTCCCCATTAAGGACAACGTGGAGAACGTTTTAACCCAAGGTGTCAAATTTTACCAAAATTTGGGGAATCATGGAAACGCAAAACTAATAACAAAAACTCGCACGGCCCGTCAGAGCAACTATCCCTTCATGCTTTATGGAGGATGGTAAGACTAAATATGTAGATATTTATTTTATTTCAAAAATTTGTGAATTTTTATACACAATGCTATTATGCCTGAAAAGTAAATGCACTCTGAATACCCACGGGTAGTTGGGGGTTTCTACTTTTATAAAGTGTGGTAATAGGACATTACCAACCAGTGTACAAATTAATTAGTTATTTAAATTGAATTAATTAACTGCCTTGTTGCGAAATTACGGAAAAATTGAATTGTTTACATAACTTAATACACAAAGTCATGACTCAGTTTACCCCCAAAAGCATGATTCGACTACCCGAATTCTCCCGACTGCCCCGATACCCCAGGTAAAACCCGCGGGTATGGGTTTTCAATAGCAAACGCCCGGGGTTTTCCTTACCCTGTTAATTTCTATACAAAACCTAGAGAAAAATGTATTCTTTATCAAGTTACCCGTGTCTAATTTTATTTATTTTATTTAGCTACCCCCCTGGCCAGGCTGGTGGGTGGGCGTGGGGACGACCCCAACCCCCACGTTACCCTCTTTACAACCCATTTGGAAACCAAAATAGAGCCACGCCTCCGATAGACGATGACATCGACGAGATAGCTGAGGATTTAGATTATATCCTCCACCGCCATACGTTTTTGGTCGATTTTGATGAGCCAGAATGTCAAGTTTTGGGACGTTCATGCACTTCGTCGTCAAAAAAATAGTCGGTTTAGGATAGCCTATATCTTACCCGTCTTAAGTTTAATATGTACTTATGATTAGGATAAGGAAATGGGAGAAGGGTGGTCTAAACATCGGTTTTTTAATGTCGTAATTTATGGACGTTCCCTTTTCCGCCATGGGAACAAATGCCCAGTGTTATTTCGCAAATTCTTTGTGAAGTATCTCTACGAATTGCTTACATACCTAATATATTTCTTAAAAATAAAATGTAAAGAAAACTCAATTTCTTAAAGAATAAATTTCTCAAAAAAGTATATATGTATTTACCTAGGTATATATCGTACATACAAAACAAATTTAACTACACTCTTAAATATAATGTTACTCTTTCGAAAACTAAATGCATTCTACATTTTAATTACTTACGTAAACTATATAAAATCCAGAGCAACTGAACATTGACTCGATAAAGGGTCAAGGTTAGTCTGGATTTAGTGTCATTTGACACTCACATTGGTTCTTCCCGTGAGCAGTCACCAAAAATTCTCCCTCCGGCCCTGAAGAAGAACGAAGGTTCGAAACGTTGACCATTGGCCCTTAAATCCGGATTCTACAATTTACAGTGAGTCTCATCCCCGTCCTTACTCCTTATTATACTCACTCGCACATTTTACCAAATATCAGGAATTTTATACATACATAACCGAGACTGGATAAATTTCCTTGGAAACGTCTCCGAAAAAGAAACCACTCCATAAAAATGACTTTAAATATAATGCTTAAAAATAATTGTGCGTCAACCAAGTCATTATAATTGCATGCCAAAAGAAACCCTAACCTAAGTATTCCTCTTCAGTGTCCCATAAATTGCCACACAAGGCAGTAAAAGTGTCCCATATTTTACTCATAGTTATGGTTTGGCTTTTAAAAGAAGATGTCTTTTTATTACAAACTAATAAACTTGGTGATGTCACATTTCCACGTCAAAGGTTGCAAAGTGCAGTTGCATAAATTCAATCGCACTTAACAAAGTTGGCCAAATGGTGGAAAAGTTGTAAAAAATCAGTTATATATAAATGCATTTGTAGACGAAGGATTACATCACTTTTGCATTATTGTTTAATAGTGAAAATTTTTTAAATCTTCTTCGGGCCACTTTTCTCTACGAGATTCTGCTGAATGTCGGTTAATAAATCTGGTAGAATTTATTATATCAATGCACTTATTATTTTGCAAGCATTAACTGGTTGCATAATAAATTCAATCACATTTAACGAAGTGGGGTAAATACTGAAAAACTTGTCAAACATCAGTTATTTATAACTAAATGCACTTTGTGCTGCACAAGTAAACGAACCGTGGCAGGATTTTTTGTTGTTTTATTCTAATTTTTTTTGCTTATTGGTGAATTGTGAGTTTTGTTTAAGCTTAGTACTCACGATGGAGTTTACGCGCGGAAAACGACTTTTGCAGAAATTCTGCTCAATTTAAGCCCGAGTGGTACTCAGGTCTTCGCGTGAAACTTGTGCGGAATTTTCCGCGCGAGCAGTTTACGCTCAATGTAAGCTCAAAGTTTCCGTTAAATCGAGGCAATTCTTTCACGTGAAATGTGAGCGGAAAGTGACTCGCGGCCCTCTGAGCTCAAAATAAGAGGGCGGAGCAACCTCAAAATCTCAGTTTCAACTCAATGGCAAGGCTAATTTAAAATGGGGCAAAATGAAACCTGTTTTTCAGCTCAAATGACCTGAGTACCTACGAGTGAAAATTGAGCGAAATATACGTGGAATAGTGGTATTTTCTGCCCGCTTACGAATTTCTCTCCAGCGAAAAATTTAACAGAATTTAAGCAGGATGAAATTCCGCGTAAACATTCGTCCTGAGTACCAGGCTTTAGGCCGTATGAAAGATATATAAATATGTCGAGATACTTGTGCATGTCGGTTAATAAATAAATCTAGCAGAATTTATTCTAACAATAAATATGCATGTAACTGGTTGCATAAATCCAATCTTATTTCATGAAATGTGCTAAATACACGAAAATTCGTTAAAAAATCAGTTTGCATTTGTGGTGCGCAAATCAACGAAGCATGACAGAATTTGTTGTCTCTATTGTTTATTATCAGTTATGTATTTATTATTAGCTTTTTCATTTGATGACAGATTGTCAAACTTTTTAGCTGTGTAGTTTGTCGTATTTTTGTAGTACACAAATTTCAAAATATTTACAAATTTTTACGTAATTCTATTTTTTGCAAACATATGTATGTATATACATAGATATTTAGATATTTAGAAAATATTTCTGCTCTTAAATATATTCATACATTTTTACAATACGTAAATCCTTTACATTTTGTGTTAAAAATTTGCTACATTTTACACATATTTTAACAATGTGAAACGATTTTTTTACTTACGGAAATCAATTTTAATTTTAAAATTTGACAACAAGTTAGGAGAACTTACACTCAAAAATACTAATTTTGAGAAAATACTATTTTACTTTTTTTCGTAAATATTAAATTATTGCGTCAATTTTACTAGATGGATACATAACCGCCCTCTGTTTATAATGGAACCTTTGCTTTTCTCCCCGTCATACCAATTTATGTATGTCTTCTGCAGATCAGCTAATAAAATTTAAAGTCACTCATTATTTTGCGACTTGCCAGCGTACCAGACATGTTGGAGCGTATTTACATAAATACAAGACACGCCTACGCAGAGCTGTTTCATAATTCATCCGGGTTTAAAAAATTAGCACAGGGCAAGGTGTCGATTGACAAGAAACACGCTGAACATGACATCACACTCTAAATAATTTGGCGACGAATAGATAGTCAACCCCGTTGGTACTTTATTTCATTACCACTCGGAATCATAATTGTAACCAAGGCGGTTATGTCATATATTGACACCGGCGGTGTTGATTTGATAAATTTTTGTTTTAAGTGTGTATGGATACCACACGCCAGTTTTTGAATTATTTTCCTCTGATAACAAAACGTTTCCTCAATAATTACCCAAGCATAAAGAACTATTGCACCCCTGCGAGTAGGGATTTGTCTCCAAGTTATTTAGAGTGCACGTTCAAAATTAGGAGATCAAGTTGAAGCTGTAAATTTACCAGTTAATGCAGACTGCATGTTTATACTTCCGCTTCAAAATGTCTGGCATACTTGTAAAATAATGAGTGCAGTAAAATCTACTACATATGTAGATTTATTGCTGAATATGAATCTGAATCTCGTCGTACATACATATGTACATATATAAATCTTGTTCACATGGCCCGGATAAAACTAAAGGTTCACTAATAAGCAATAAAGTAAAAAGTGCTTCGCCGACTGCAAATGCAAATGCATTTATTTATACATGGTTTCTACAAGTTTTTGAGGATCTGGCACATGTCGTTAATTGTGATTGAATTTATGCAACTGCACTTTGCAACCTTTACGTAATATGTAAAGGTTGCAAAGTGCTGCGCAAGTGACACATTATGTCACTTGCGCAGTAATGCGGCATCACCAAGTTTATGAGTATGCAGTAAAAAAGACATCTCCTTTTAAAAGTCAAACAATAACTGTGAGTTAAATATAAGAAGTTTGACATTTTTAATGCCTTGTGTGGATATTTATTTGACATGGAGGAGGCAGAGGTTAGGGTGTTTGGCAGATAATTCCAATGACTTGGGAGAGGAACAATTATTTTTCAGCAGTTCATTTCCAGTTACCGGAGCGGAGCGTTTTCTCGTTCAAAGAAGTTTCTACGGAAATTTATACAGTTTTGCTCAAAGTTAGGAAAGGTAAAAATATTTTGAAAGCAATTTGTTAGTACTTAATTCAATGTTGTTGTATATTCGTGGTAAGTTTAAAATTGGGAATATTAAAGGGGTATCGGGATTATTGAAATTCTTAAAAAAATTGGTATAGAACTATGCAAGTAAAAAGGGCTTTGTTAGAAAGCAGATTTTTTCATATCAAGGTCCGATAAAAAATAGGGGTAGTTTGCCATTAAGCAACAAAATTAACGCTCGAAAATTCCACACTAACTTGACATGAGTACCCCCAATTTGTTCATTTATACGTTTAGAATATCACAAAATATGTGTCGTTCCATTAATAATACATAATCCAAAATGTTCCAGTTGGCCAGATTATACTTATTCAATACTTAAAAATTATGAATTACTGCTCGTCTAAAAAGAATTGAGAGAAACAAATCTGTGAGGTTATCTGGCAGTTCGTTTAAATGATACCAAAAAAATATCTAATTTAAAAAACATTTAGTTAAGGACTTCCTCTCTATTTTTTGAAATAACAATAATTAATTCACAAATTTTATTTTCCCCAGAAATGCCTAGCAACAATCACAAGTACGAGGCGGCCGAGGTGGAAGCCGCCTTCCAAAAAATGTCAACCTACAACCCCACCGAGAAATGCATTAAGGTCTCCGACTTCGAGGAAATGCTCGTCAAAACTCTGAACTACGCCAGCACCCCGGAACAAGTCGCGACCTACAAAGCCATGTGGGCCGGGCCGTTCGGGGGCGTAATTCCGCTAGAGGTTTGTTTATTTGTTGTCCTTAATTCAAGTGTCAATAAATATCAGTTAAATAGAGACTGATTACAATCCATTAATGAGTTCCAACTCTGTAAAAAAATCGCTTTTTTCTGTGCGATTTCGAAATTTTTTCAAATATTTTTGTTTAAAAACAAAATCAAGGATAATTTTATTTTTGGACCAAAAGAGTGAGAAAAGTGGAATTGAGAAAAAGGTGTTTTGCGAAAAGAGCGATTTTTTTACAAAGTTGGGAGTCCCTAATAACCTCATTCTCTGAATAAGCATTGAACTAATTATTTGTTTATCATTTAACTAATTAGGTTTTCGCGCCGATCATGGGAGCAGTCTCGGACGACGTGGAACTCATGCGAATCTTCATCACGGCGATAGACAAGGACAAAAACGGATTCATTGATGCGGACGAATTCAAAACGGTTGTCTTAGTTTTGCTCATACACAATCCGAATTTTCCGAAGGTGGATTATGACAAGTTTGTCGTGGAAGCGGACACGGATCACGACGGGAGAATCAGTATTGATGAGGCCGTCGTCTGGTTTGCGAAGCAGGCGGGGAGAATGCTTTAAAAATTAAATTAGTTGTTGTCGTATTAAACACTTAAATAATTAAAAAATTGTCTGGCATTTATCCCGATATTTATATTGGAAAATTTAAAATATTTCGAAACATTTAGAAGTTTTCAATCTGTTTAAGCGAGATTCAATAGTCAATATTTATCTGAATGTAACGCAACAACGAAAAAGTTTCGTAAATTTAATTAAACCGGAATAATGCATTAAGAATAAGGAAAATATGCTATTATGCAAAATTTTGTTTTATTTAACTCCAAATCCGTAGATAGTCTGGTAAAAATTGCAAATTAAAAAAGTTAACCTGTAGTTGTTATAGAAACCACATAATAAATAAATATTGTAGTATGATGTTGCACATGCCATTTTTCTCCACTTTCAGGAAAGTCAGTCATGGGAATTATCTGCATGAATGCACCCTTAATAATATTGTGTAAGGTTTACTCAAAGTTGAATAAAAAAGGGGATGCCACAATGATTGTTTAAAATTTGTTCAACCTTCTGTAAAATGTTACCCAACTTTTGGAGCTTCCTCTATGTTGGTAAACCTGACATGTAAATTTGGCGCAACTTTATTTATTTAGAGTATGTGATCCTGTTTCCAATCACATATTAATCACTTCTTATATATATAATAACACTTTATTACCGGATTATTTAGAGCGTATGCATATATATTGCATGGTAAATATGAAACTCTACTTCAGAAAATAAATTATTACATAACTGAGCAAAATCTATTTACTATCGAAAATTGCATAACTGGTTATAATTTATAACCAGTTATGCAATAACTTATAAATATACCCAATATAAATTTCAGACTCAAGGTGCACATAAATATGTACAACTATGCAGTAAAGAGAGGAAAATTATTATTTCTGGATGCCATTGCTTCCCATCATTCCCATCTAAATAAATTTGCACATAACCTCCTCAACATTTTCTGATACACAAAGGTCGGTAAAATATTTGAAATCCTGGATATAAAATACATAGAAATTAAGATACCTAGAGTTTAGAAGTATTTACAACATAAATAAAACACGAATTGAATTTTATCCATGCTGTATTGGACACACAAAGTGCAAAATACATATTTTAGAAATGTATATATGTAAAATTGTTCAATCAACCGGACAGTACACCAAAGATAATACTTACTCCATGGTTTACCTCACACCTTGGTAACACGGTTTGTAACCATTTTTTAATTAACAGTTAATTACCCATTACTTGGAAATCATTAAACGATTTAATTATCCTATTTGTATAAATTACATATCCACTACCATGCATAATCACAAACTGCTCAGTTTTTGACAGCACCTCTATTGAAGTGTGGCGGAAAAATTGTTCGCCAATTTATTTCGTCAATTATCGCAATGCGAATCTCATCTCCAAAAATGTGGCAAAATTTTATTTTCCTTATCTTACAACTATTCCTGCCTTGTGTGTTGTGCATCGAAATAACTTTGGAGCCTACTCCGCCTTTCGCAGAAACGAAGAGTGGATGGGTTGAAGGGTACATTCAAAAAACGGTTGGAGGTCATCAGATAGTCGCGTTTGAAGGGATCAAATACGCCGAAGCTCCAACTGGGCAGCTTAGATTTAGGGTTAGAAAATAATTCAAAAATTCATACGAAAAATAAAATTGTAATAAATTGTTACCATTCGGAACCGCTTTCTAAATATTTGGTACACATTCTACCAATACGCCGAAGAGCCAACTGGACAACTTCGATTTAGGGTTAGCCAAGTATACGAAAATACATACGAAAAATAAAGTGGTAATAAACTGTTACCATAAATTGTTACCATTCAGAATCGCCGTATAGATATTTTGTTACGCATTCTATAAAAAGCGTAGCATTACTTTTAAGAGTGTACATATACAAAACAAAATATTAGCCTGGTTACAGCCTGGTTACAATTTATCACCAAATGTAGCAATAAATCAAATTCATTGCCCAATATTCATACAATGGCAAAATTGATTCCATACAGAAACTTTTATCTTGTGAAAAGTAAAATTGTTTCCAGTCGGGGACACAATTTTAAAAAAATCTGTAATGCATCATAAATATTTATGCAACTAATGATTTGTTACTACACAGGTTATGATTTTGAGACTGATCACCGCTAGTTGACTGAAACATTTAATTTTCTCTAAGGATCCTGTTCCGGTTAAACCCTGGACTGGAATTTTCGAAGCTGTTAAAAAATCTCCGGCATGCTTACAACTGGACATGCCTAAATTCATGTATCTTCATGGAACCGAGGATTGCCTATTTCTTAATGTTTATACCCCAGTGGTGATGCAACAAAGACGCAAGAAATGCTAGTTTTTAATAGGATTGGCAGTTTTTTTTAACATTTTTTGTATAGTTTACTGATGCGATACCTCCTGATCCTGCGAAGAAATCAAGGCTGGTGGGTAAATTACCAGTCCTAATTTATATTCATGGAGGTAAGGTACATACATATACTTTTTAGTGTTGGTAATTAGCATATTACGTCACTAATTTCAGAAAATTCTAAGTTTCTTAATTCCAAAACGGCTATGATAGCCGGATATTGTATCGATGCGTAATTATGTACATAGTATATTTAGTCATGTAGCTCTTTCAAATGCTTAACCAAATATATACACTTTACTTCGAAAATGAGCCAACTGCACGTAGGTGGTTTCGGTTAAAAAAGCGAAGTTAGCACTTTCTGAAATTATTCTAGTAAAGTGAGCTAAATGCACGTCGGCGATATCAAGACAAAATAAACGTATATAGCTTCTTCACTCGTCGCATCTTAATTCCAAAATGCGTCATGTAAGTGAAAAATGAGTGGAGTTATGTCTTTCTGAAACTAAGCCACAACTGCAGATATCACTTATTGAAAGTAATGCGACTCTATGTGACGCGCTTCTACAATCTTTTTGCACTCTAATTTGCACTCTAATTAGGCAATCTAATTAATTCACACCAACTATTTAGGTGGTACCACGTAAATTAAATTAAATTAAATTAAGGGTGTTGATTTAATCCGCGAACATCGATATTTCTTCCTGAGCTCGAGATAAAGCCAGCTATAATTATGGATCCCGTTAATATTTTTCTTTGAAATTTTAACCATGAGTAGCATGAAGGTAAGTGCTAATTATGAGCATCATAGCATTTAGACGCAGGTCTTAGAAGCGGCGAATTTCAAGTGAAAACTAAAATCCACCAAAAATCGGGTGTCCTGGGAAAAGGTGGTGGTAAGGCATGAGTAAAAATTTTGTCCCGGATGAAAAACGATATAAACAACCCAATTGGGTCCCACCTAATTGGGAAACACAGACGTTGCAGAAATTTGGCGCGAAAACTAAAGTTCTTGTCCAAATGGTGCACGGGAGTTAAATAAAGTGAAACGGATTAAACGAAAATCTGATATAAATAGCCCATTTTGGTGAAACCTAACGTCCAATCTGCATAATGTTGTTACAGAACTTACAAACTAACAGCAAAAAATAATCTTTCTTCCAGAACCATTGATGACCGCGTTCAATTTACGTCAAAGTTATAAAAAAATGGGTATTTGACACCATTAAGAATTGGGTCACCACGACCTCTGCATCAATTACACTTACAAGGGACACTCACGACCTGTCGTTTGAGTCCAGGGTACCCACCATGTTTTTTAGAATCTACTTGGACCCCAGATAAAGGATTCATTCATATTTCCGTGTAAAACTCATATTTGGCGTCGTGCCGTGGCGCCAAATTCGCCAAATTTGAATGTTGTTATTTTTGAAACCGGCATAACTTTTAAAATCCTGGATGGATTTTCAAAATATTTGGCAAAAATCATGACAAGGAGTTCAACTTTCTTATCCCATGAAATTTTTTCCAAAATTATTACTTTTAACTTTTCGCAAAATTTCGTTATTTTCTTAAAAATGGGGGTTCGTCGAAAAAATGCTAAAAATATTCCAAAAATTAGAAATTTTTTATTTTTATTTTTTCTCAAAAATTTCGACTTTTGTGATCATTTTAAGCATAAAATTTTTAAAATCCGACATAAACTGCAAAAGTTATGGGGGTTTGAAATTGGTCGAAAATGCAAATTTTTAAGTTTGGCGCCACGCCATGGCGCCAAATATGAGTTTTACACGGAAATATGAATGAATCCTTCATCTGGGGTCCTAGTAGATTCTAAAAAACATGGTGGGTACCCTGGACTCAAACGACAGGTCGTGAGTGTCCCTTGTTAGATTGGGTTCTATTCAAAATTACACTGACAAATGTTAAGATAAAGAACAGCAAAGAAATTGGACCAATCTGTAATGAGGGTCCCGAAATCTAGATTGGAAGTTGTGGTGTCAGTAGTCTCGGGCGGATAGCGTTGACACCTCTAAATATTGCATGGAAATGCGAAAACATAGATGCAACAGGATATGGGCCTGATAGGCTAGCAAACAAGGAATTATTGCCAATTGAGATAAAAAATATTTTCCCACAGTGCTAAGCTGCAGACCACATCGAACAATCCACCGTAATGATAATCGAATATCAAGTTTCACCTGGGCTTACAAAATTGTAATGGCATGATAAAAATCTCGCTGCGAATTTTCTGGATAACTTGTCATACAGACTTACGGAAAAAATGTACAAGATCCAAAACCTTGAGCAAGTCAGGATATGGTTACCAAAGTTCGAGACCTGCGGCGTTTAATTCCAAAATCTACTTTATAAAAATGAGTACAGGGTCAACAGCAAAAATTTGAGGGCATGGTTAAAGTCCGTGGTGGAAAGCCCACATACAGGGGTATCTCTGAAAAAGCTATTGGATTTGGTTCCACCTTCCCTTTTGAAAAACAAGCATTTTATTTTTCAATTGAAGAATGTTCGCGGATTAAATCAACACCCTTTATGCGAAGTTAACTTTTATAGGTGGCTACATTTACGGTCGTAGCTCTGAAATCGGTGCTGCGTATTTGCTCAATAAGCAAAATGTTATACTGGTAACGATCAACTATCGCCTCGGGGTATTAGGTAACTAACTCATAACTCATTTAAATATTGTCTTAAAACTACTTAAACCATTAAAATAATTAAGGATTCTTCACCACTGGAGACGACGAAGCGTCTGGCAATTGGGGAATGAAAGATCAAGCCTTAGCAATAAAATGGGTGGTCAAAAATATCAAAAACTTTGGGGGCGATCCACAACGTATCACGCTGGTCGGAAACAGTGCGGGAGCAGCAAGTGTTGGTACGAAAGTCATAAATGAAGCATGTATACATACAACCACAGTTTCGTTTTTTCGTCAAAATCCAACCCCAGTTTCCCCAAGGCATCCTTGAAATCATCGTATACGCAAAAGAAACATATTTTTCTACTCAAAATGCTACAATTTGTCATCCGGCTAAAAATTTGAACATCCATTCTTCAGAGATTCTGCTGTCTTTTTGCCGAAATGTTTAATGAATAGCGATTTTTGATTCATAAAATTATGCAAAATATGAATAATTATGTATGCATACAGTTCTGTCGAATGAAACCTGTAAATATTTTCTTCACGATTATTTAATAAAACATTATGCATAGTTTGGTCGATTATTGTAGAATTTGACGCAATTATCTCCACTCGCGAACAAATTTTCACAATTGTTTTCCACTGAATTGGTTTTTATAGTGAAAATCTCCCTTAATTAGGCATTCTTCGTTTACTGCATTTTCCTTGACAGGACTTCACATGGTCTCGCCACAAAGCAAAGACTTATTCCAGCGAGCAATTCTCGAATCCGGATCGCAATTTACGATTTGGGCCGTGCAAAACGAAACTTACTCAAGTTCATTGGTCGTCGCTAGAGAAATGGGTTGTCATAAAGGGGGCAATTCTGCCGCCATGGTTTCCTGTCTTCGAGCCAAAGATGCGGATTGGATGGTCGGAAGGTCAATCAAAGCGTGGAGGATGCTTCTCTTGTCGAGACTCCCGTTCGGACCGGTGGTCGAGTCGGTCTGGACAAAATCCCTGTTTCTCACCGAGGCACCGGAAGTGTCTTATCGAAACGGGAGAGTAAGCCGGGTTCCGATGATTGTTGGATTAAATAAGGATGAAGGATCTATTTTCGCGGCGGGTAAGGATTTCGTAGTCAAATGTGTGCCTGTATTTTAAATACTGTTCATAAACAGTCATTCAAAACCGGTTTTGGGAAGTTTAAAATGTGTAAAAAATGTCAGAAATATAAAGATTCGTTCTTACCCTGTTTTCACCAAGTTTTGTTTGGGCACCGAATTTTGAAAGTCCAAATGTTTAAAATTGTCAAAACTATTTAGAAAACTGGTCAAAATACCTTATTTGTAGGTATCTAATTTTATATTAATTTTGATAATTTTTTGTGTGGTATGGGATTATTTCGTAGAATGCAAAATTTATTTGAGGCAAAATTCACAAAATAAATGCGAAATTATGTACCCATCTGTGCATAGATTGGCGAAAAACGGTTAATGAAGAACTTTTCAAATTTTGCCCCATTTTCCTGTTGGTGTCCAAACTTTTTTTGCACACTTTTGAATGCTTTTTTGAACTGTGTCCAGTCCAAACTGGTGTTGAACGTCCAAAACGATGCGCTAATTTTATCAACCACTTTTTTAATTTGGGAAATATATACGTATGCCGATTTATTTATATTTTTTACTTTTTCAGGAATTCAATTCTATCCTGGCTATCGGACCCATACAAACTTAAATTGGAACTGTGTCATACCGTACGCATTAAGTTTTGAGGACCGGACCACCGCCCAGAATGCGGGACACGTTGCACAGAAAATTAAAACTTATTACTTGGGAAAGGATCCAAAAATTACGTTTCGGAATCGAAACAAGTGGATGAAGGTACACTCTTAGAAATGGGGTTACGATTATAACCAAAAAGTAAATGCATGTGACTCTACCGCCGTCGTTATCAATATGACAAGACTTTTTTCCAACTTGACAGTTCTTCGGAGACAGATTGATCGTACAAGGGGTACACGCCATCATGGAGCAGCATTCCAAAATTGCCCCGACGTACGGATACATGTTTTCCTACGCGGGCGAGCGGTCCATCGTGCAAACTAGCGGTCTTAATCGGGACAACTGGGGGGTCGCTCATACAAATGAAATGCTCTATTTGTACAACAATACGAAACAGTTTCCCAATATGAATGAGACCAGTAAGGATTTCAAAGTTTCGGAAACATTGGTCAATTTGTGGACCAGTTTTGCAGAGGCGGGGTAAATTATTGAAAATTCAAATTTACAACGTTAAAAATAAGGTTACCTTTTTGAAAAATAAACAGGTTGAATTAAGCATTAAGTGATCTATATATACGAAATCCAGATACGTTTTACCAAGTTAAGGTTCCTCTGGATTTAGCGTAGTTTACTTAATTCAGAATTCAAAATCCTTTTATTTTTCAAAAAGAAGACCTTATTTTTAAGAGTGTACCCTTGATTGTATTTCCTATTTGACAGAATCCCCAGTTTGCACGAGTCTGATTATCGATCCCCTGCCAAAATCTGGAAGCCAATTTCACCCACTGCAATGAAACTATTAGAAATTAATTCCGTCAACCAAGTTCCAAGAATGATCAAATTTCCGCAAGATATTTCAGAAAGGGTTGAATTCTGGAAAAGTCTTGGACTTAGGGGTGATCCTGTGTTTCCTTAAAATTCTAACATTAGACGCAAATTTATATAAAAAATTTAACCCACAATTAAACGAACTACCCAAGTTTTCTGTCACATCTACTCTTTTTCATTGATTATAATTTTTAACCCCTCGTGCTACCTATGAAAACTGCTAATACCTTCAAAATATGAATTATAAATTAAATCAGATCGGTATTTGTCAAGGTTTCCAAATCGAATTATTTTGCGTATGAAGTGATTCCGGTTTTCATTATTGTTACTCTCATATCAGTTCACTTTAATTCATTTGATTAATTGTGATAGTGAATGAAAATGAATTTTCTGTCATTTGAATGAAAATGACTCATTTATACTCCTTTCAAAAAGACTTGGAATTTTGAACGTAAGCTCCTAACGTCAAAGGAAGGACGAATTAGAAGGTAGCACTGTATGTAGGGTGAGAAATGAAATGCCATTAAAAGGTCGAATGGTATATATTATTTCAATTTGAACTGAAATTTAGCCCAGAATTCAATGGTGACCTCCATTTTGGCCTTAAATATTACGAAAGTTAACTTAGAGGTCACTCAAAGGTCATTAACTATTAAATTTTATGCACATGTTAAAAATGCGTCAGACACATCAAGTTTAACAGCAATTCAACGGGCAAACACAATATTTTGTTCAGTTTGACGGATAATACACTGCTTTCACCCCTTGGTTATATTCGTTTGTTTAAGTTATTTATTCGTTTTATTCGTTTACATTGTAACGGTTTATTTAACTTGAAGATTTTATCATAGAATTGTGAATATCCTAAATACTGAATACTAGACGTCAATAATGAAAATGTACGCAATAAAGTATAGAATATTAGTAGATTGATATATCAAGAAAAATATCGTTTAATGTCAAACATGCAATCATCATTTATGCATAAATATCACTTATCATATTTATGCTTATTCTTCATTACACATGCATATGTATGTGGAGCCAACGAACGCGACGTGGTGTGGAGCCAACGAACGCGACGCGAGCCAACGCGACTTCTATACTAAAGTATAGAAGTCGCGATGTCTTTCGGCTTCATATATGTTCACATAGAAACCGAACATTATATTTGTACGATTATTCATGTTTTAGACTTTAGTTCACAAATCACTTGAGTTTTGAGTTTTACATACTAATGGTCCTTGACAATTGCTAAACTAAACAAGACTCTTAACCTGTTTTAAAGTTTACGACTATCAAGGAAAAAACAGATACAGATAAAAATAATCCGACCAAAATTTGAATTTTAGCTGTCGTTGAGGTTTGACGAGAGCTTACTATTAAACTGCGACATATGTGCACCACACAAAACTACACGGTAGGGGATCGTTGCCCCTAGGATCCGTAATATGCGGTGATGCTTTGGTGATTTTGTATGTCATCCGTCGGAAAACTTGTATCCCCTCCCAGTACCATTATGGCCTCCAAAATCTTAGTTTTTGTGTTATCGTGTTTGACTACCAACGCTGCCTTTGCCTTAACAAATTACAATCACAATCCGAACTGCCTGCTAATGACCGCAATAGCACGCGAAATCCGTGTACAAGATTTCAGTCATTTAAATCTGAAGTACGACCTTCATTTAGTAGCATCCCATCAGGCAGGAATAGTGGTGAAGCACTTATATTCCAAAAACCCTGGAACGCTACCCATGTGGAAAACCTGTTGTGTTGAAATCGTCATATTTTATGATCATGAGAACATTGACGGGTTTTACGATGACATCAGCCCTACCTGGCATTTTCGCCTCATAGTTTTAACATTTGGAAAGCACACCATTATAAAAATTTCCTTCATTTTTCAGTTCCAATCTATTTAGTAATTGTAGATTTTGAGCAAAAACGTATTTCCGCCAATTTACTCAATCCGATAAGTTTTTCTGATGAAGATGTGTGGAAAATGTTCTCTATCGAATATAATGCTGAACGACCAGATATGTTTCCCACTGGAGAGTATTTGATAAAATCTAGGCAATTACTTGACTACAACCACTACCAGTTTAGGTTGCCTTTATACTCGAGTTTGGTGCATAAGGCGACAAATCTTGATTGCGAAAATCATCGCTTCTCTTTAGCTAATGGAATTCTTTGCCACGTAGCTATTGGACCAATGCAAGCAGTAATGAAGAAACTAAATTTGACGTTTTCTGTAGCTGGGTAAAAAATTTATTATATTTAAAAGTAATATATTTAATTTCCTCACAAGAAAAAAATATTCATACTATCTACTAAGAGCTAGCAAAGCATTCTTTATGGTCCTAAACCGCCCGCCTGTCGTCGTTCCATCCTATGAACATGCATAACAACTTTTGGGCGGATGCGAATTTCTACATAAGGTTTTCACCAACGTGTGCCCAGGCCTAATTTTAGGTATAGGCGATCTTGCCACCCGCCTAGGGCGCCGAATGCTGGCCACCGTATATATATATATATGATATGCACATATACCTAAATTTAGCACCCACTGAACAAGACTGTTGCGAGACAGTACTTTACGCTCGAGCTTGGTTACATTTTGTTTACAGCAGTTTATTATTTATTTGTTTGATTATCAATCATCTGCAATAATACATTTTTTGAACGCTTTTTTAGTAACCAGTCAAACTACCGTTCAGAACTTGGCCTTGCGCGATTCATGTGGAAATTTACACCCGGACTGAAAATTCACATCCAAATGACTTCAGATTGGAATATTCTTTATTGCCAAAAAAATTCAATTTTCTTAACCTTAAACATTTCGCGGTTTTTCACCATTGTTGACACTTGGACTTGGATGGTGCTTATGTCGCTCTCGCTGTTCTTAGGATACACAAAGCTAGGTTGCTATCCGGATATTGTCGTGACATTCCTCAGGGTATCAGTACTCAACAAGTAAGATTCATAAAAGGAACGACAGACAATTGTGCTGTTCGTGACACAGCTTTTGTATTACTGAGTCTAACATAAATAGCTATTAAGCGTGTCTATCAGTGTTCGGATCGAAACGACAAAATTTCGTTCCGACTCGGTCGAAATTCCAAAGGAAAAATTTCGAAAATTTCGAAACCAAACGTCTAGAAAATTTCGAATCGAAGTGAAGAGTTATTTCGTTTCGATGAAACGAAATTCAATTAATTCGTTTCGAATTTCGACGAAGCGAATATTTCGCAAACCCTTTCTCGGATGTGCATAAATGACGTTTACTATTACGATTAAATTCACAACGTTGTTTATCAGGGTCGTCCAAATTCTAAATGAATTGAAATCAAACTAAATTCGATGGTATTTCGTTTCGATTCGTTCGAACGTTTGCAATTTGGTTTCGAAATGTCAAATCGAAATCGTACTTGGTTCAAAACGAAATTGTCTGATTTCGGTTCGATTTCTATTCGGTCGGGACACTGCTAACTATAAACTAAAAATGCATCTCAATTTCGCTTGTACTATACTAGGAGTTCCCTCACATCCTTTGGAGTGCTCTGTATTCTGACGATGGTTGCGATTAGTTCGTCCTATGACGCCATTATTACAACCGACATAATCGCACCTCCTAAGAAATATGTGGTCGCAAATATCCATGAACTTTTGACCAAATTTGGCTTTAAACTGTACTCAGGAGTAGAAGGTCACTACTTGTCGGGCCCCGATTTCGATCTCCTTTGGATATGTTGTAGTACTACATGAGTGTAGAAAAAGTGAAGGAGGGTTAGACTCCATGAGCCCATTTACGCCCGCCACACCCGCTCAAAGGCGCCCAAACCCCCAGAGTTGCCGCACTAAAATCATCCCCAAAAATCGAGTTTTGGTCAGATTTTCAAAAAATTTACATTTTTGTGATCCCAGATAGTTGCTCTATCATATCCAATAGCAAACTCAACTTTTTTGAAATTTTCAATATTTTCGAAGATTTTCTGACCAGGGGTATGTATTGAAAATATTGAAAATTTTAAAAAAGTTGAGTTTGCTATTGGATATGATAGAGCAACTATCTGGGATCACAAAAATGTAAATTTTTTGAAAATCTGACCAAAACTCGATTTTTGGGGATGATTTTAGTGCGCAACTCTGGGGGTTTGGGCGCCTTTGAGGGGGTGTGGCGGGCGTAAATGGGCTCATGGAGTCTAACCCTCCTTCACTTTTTCTACACTCATGCAGTACTACAACATATCCAAAGGAGATCGAAATCGGGGCCCGACAAGTAGTGACCTTCTACTCCTCAGTGTCGCGCGCAGTCAACAATTGGACTCGTTTTCAGTTATCGATTCGAAAGGATTTCTCAGATCTTGATAAAGCTAATGACTATATGTGGGACCGAGGTATGGCAACTAGGTCAATTTTATATTCTTACAGATTTAATGAATATCTATTTCTCTTTTTAGAACTCCCTATGAGCAACCGCAAGTTATGGTTTTGTAGCTATGTTAGCGGGCCAGGTCGGGGTTATGAAGCTGTCTCCTTTTGTGCCACCAGCATTATATTATCTAAAAACTAGCCTATAAGCCCGTCTTAAAGACGGTCCACAATTAAAGTTTTAAGCCAACAAACTTAAATCATTAGATGCAAGCATTATATAATGTGATGTATTAATCTGTATCGAAATTATAATTCCAGAAGAAACATACCACATCTAAATATATTAAACCTACAAAAAGTCTACGGCAATCCTGCATTCTGATTGGTTGCCGACCCTTCTACGGAATTTTTTTAAGGGGGGGTGGGAGGAAAGAAGGATTGGAGAGCATGTCATCGAGTGGCCGATGGGTTGACTACAGTGGTCAACTGGTCGGTCACTCGAATTTGCCTCACCAGCTCCATCTGCAGCTTGTGATGCAAGATTTTACCTGTTTATTGCACTTATAACCGCAATTACATTAGCCGAATGACCGAATTATTTTATTATTTAACACCAGTTGTTTTTATTTTGGCGTAAAAATCTTACGAAATTGTATAATTTGAACGCCAAAATGAAAATAACAGGTGTTCAATAATAAAGTAATTCGGATGATTC